CCGTGTGTTCGACACCCAGGCAGACGACACAGGGGGCGTGCGTGTCCTTGCCCGAAATGGTCGCCCTGCATAGGCATGGGTGTGCTGGGGAATGGGCCGGGGTCCTGCTTGGTGCTCCCTGGGCCGAGCTAGCAGGTTCCATGGCTCCAAAAAACAGCTAAGCTGGGACGTTCGGCCTAGTCAATGCCGGTAGTGGGTTGAACTAAACGAGAGCGCAAACTAGTAATTCTCCCTTCCAGGTAGAAAAGCTAGTCGGCAGGATAGCTAGCCAGGTTAGCTATGCCTTGCAGCTAAGCTAGCCAAGTCTCCGCAGCTAGCCGTGTAACGCTAGCTACAAAAGTAAATGGAGGAAGAAAAGTGGACAAGCAAACTCTTACCCGAAGCGAAAACTTTCCTTTCACTAGTCACCCAACACAAAATACGAGAAGTGATAACCCTGTGCTCTGCGGTGTAACCTTAACCGCACACCTGTGAACAGTTAAACAGGAAAACAGATAAAGTCGTGCTGAGGAGAACTCAGTAGAACTGAGGATGTGAAGGATGTATTTTAAGTATTTGAAATACAATTTAATCCTCTGAAGGTCCTTGTTTAAACAGTCAGATACCAGTTTATGCATCATCCTTATTCATGACTATTTATACGTACTTGTTTAGTATGCGGTAATTCATTTTGCAATTAAATGCTTTAAGATGAAATCGGCTTTATTTTACCTTGCTATAGCTACCCCGGCCTATGCTCGTGCCCTATCTCGAAGCTGTGCATTTAGAAGGGTCAGTGTTATTTTGAATCCTTGGGACGTTCCTACGCTAAATCCTAACCCCTACCATTTTTTATTTAAACTTCAATCGGGTAGGGACGTCCCAAGTATTCCGGATAGCACGGACCCATTTAAATTAGAAGCAACTTTAGCGCCAAGACGTCATTGGTTAGCGCATGTCGTCATCTGCAGTCGACGTTGTTTTGACAGGCATCAGGAGCGCGCTTTGAAGGGGAAGATGATATTAGACGGCATTTATTTTGCAGATGATCATAGAAACACCGATTAATCGGTCTGTGGATGGTGGTTGGAAGAGCGCGCTTGTTTGAAATTGAAAAGTTTTTCGATAGCTACTGACAAAGAAGAACATTAAGACGAAGCAGCTGCTTTTCTAGTGGGATGCACTGTTGAGCGCTACATCCCGAGTGGTTTGTGCTGATTGAACGGAGATTGTGACAGCCGGTTAAATGGCGTCCCTTGAGAGGGCAAGAACAAGATGTATGTCAGTAGAAGTGCAGTATTATCATAAGGAGACGTATACTTGGAATACGGAGGAGGAATGGAAGGAAAAAGAAAGAGGCAGGAGGTCGAAGAGAGAGGGGGGAATAGGGTGAGTTTGAGTTGGTTAAAAATGGCGGGAAAAGGGATATTATTTGTTAAAGAAGAATGGTAGAAAGTGTAAGCAGAGTGAGCTGTACGCCGGATCAAAGACAGGAGGAGAAATGGAAGTGAATGAGGGAGAAGTATCTGAGGTGGTAGGTGTGGTGAAGTTTTTGGAGCCTGGGAGGCTTCCCTTACAAAAAAAGATCGCAGTTTTGAAACTGCAGTAAAAGGTCAGTGCACTGTGGTACTTTGGAAGCAGTAATTGCAGCATACTGCAGTTATACTGCACTCTGACTGCAATCTTTTTTCATAAGGGCTGCACCGAGGGTCATGATAAAGATGAGTCTGTGGAGTGACATTTTTGTAAAAAGTTGACCCTTGCATTTTGGCTGATCCATTTGTGGTTTCAGGGTGGGTGAAAACAGAGTTGGGTGCTGTGGAATCGGTGAGGGTAACCAGAAGTGGTCTAGTGATAATTGTTTGTGTTTCTGCTGGTCAGAGGGAGCAGGCGCTCCGCGTTAAATGAAGGGGGACAAGAGAGGTGACTTGTTTTGCTCTCAAGGAAAGGGCGCCATTGAGAGGAGTGATTACTGGGGTAGGGGTAAATGTGAAAGTTGACCAACTGAAGGGGAAGATTCCTAATGTTTGTGATGCTCGTCGTTTGGTGTGACGCAGACAGGGTGGCGTGAGTGGTCAAACAGAAGAGTCATTGTCTGACGTTTTGATGTTGAGTCTTTGACCGACAAAGTGATGTTAGGATATATAAGTTATTCCTTACGAGCTTTTGTGCTGAACACATTGTTACAGGTGTCAAGCTTATGGGCATATGGCAGCAGTGTGTAGGAGGGAGGTTCCTAGGTGTGAGAAGTGTGCAGAAGGGCATGAGACAAAGGAATGTGTAGCATTGGGGAAAGTCGTGGTATGTGTTAATTGTAGGGGTGCCCATGGGGCTGGGGATCAGAAATGTCCAGTGCAAGAGGCAGGTTGAGGTTTCCATAGTTAGAGTATTACAGAAGTTGTCGTATGCTGAGGCAGTGAAGAAAGTAGAGGAAGATGGGTCAAGGGGGCGGAATCCTGAGAGGAGTGGTGTGAATAGTAGAGCTATACCAGTACAGAGGGGTAGGCCAACAATATATATATTTTCAGTAAGATTTGATTTTTTGCATTTATAGCAATGGTTATCAACTGTACTGCAGGGATGGAACGTAAGTCACATAACATTGAGGTGGTGGTGGCAGTTGCAGAGAGGTATTTGGATGTGTGAGACTTGACATCAGAAGAGTTACAGGGTGTGTTAAGTGGTGGTGTCCCATCCTTTCAGGCTGTTGGCCTGAGGTAGGACTAAATAGATTTAAATAGTGGAGTAGGATGGTGGGTTTTTAGTGAGTGCAGGGTTAGATGGTAGGGTATTTGTTGATTATAAAAATAAAATAAAAAGTATATATATTTTTCACACCCTGAGATCGCCCTCAGCTTGACTGAAGACTGCTTTACCAGAGCCACAGCTTGCTGTGAGAACTGGCAGCCCCTCAGTACTCTTCATGCCCTTATGCACAGGTGCAGTGATCCACCTGTTTTCTCACACTAAGGCTAAGCCCATGGTGTGATGATCACTGTTTCCTTAGTGTTTGAATAGACTGACTGTGCGAACCTGCCCACCCCAAAATGAACTATTTTTATATTTGGATCGACCACACAATAATATGTTCTCTTTTTTTCTTCATGAACCATTCACATTTGAACACACATTTGATTTATCCAGAGTGAATACATTATTCTGGATATGTCTGTTTCAGCCAATAAGGCGTTCTTGTTAGTTGATTGGTTCAGTGTTTGAGACAATCTGACTTTTCACTGGTGATCTCAGTGACAATTGAGTGTTTATTCATGCTAGTTGTGGTGTGTGGATCAACCTCTGGAAGTGTAGGGTATTTGTTGATTTAGACCATTTTCTCAAGCGAAGTATACGGGAGTTATACTCCAGTCTAGTAGGTGGCGGTAATGCAACATTTATTGGATGCCAACCGCCGTTAAACCTCATCGAAGAAGAAGAAGACAGGCAGCAGAAACGTTCTGCAGATCGGTGGCGGCAAGATAGTATGCAAAAGATGCTGACAATAATCTCCAACGTGCTTAGGGGTAGTGCAAGCAGAAATGTAAGTATTGTTTCTGGATAGTACTTTAGTATAGGATAAAAAGGACCGCTTGCCTTTTTCTTAAACGAGAGCAGCTGCCGTCTTGACCTTGCTAGACAGCAAGGCCCGGATTCGTACTCGTACCGGGGTAACGTTAGCTAGCCTGGCTTCAGATACACATAGGACTGTTGCCTAGCTGTAGTTAATTAAACCTGTTAATGTTAGCTAGCTAAGATCCAAGCGAATCATATTAAAGGCCTACCGGTACTTTATCTAGTTAGCTAACTAGCCAATCGTTTAGCTAGCTGCTAACTTGTCAACATAGTTGACCTCAACAAGCCTAATCTCCACTCCAGCAGCAGCAGCATCATCATCAAAGTAATTCTAATAACGTTAAATGCGAGAGTATCTCCTCATGTCACATCATTGGTTGTTTTGTTTCTGTGCCACAATGTCAGCTATTAATCAAGATACCCAATGGTAAGGTCTTAATGATGTGAAAAAGCTTCTGACTGAAGTGTCAGTATGATGAAAGAATCAGTGTTATATGAAGGTAATCACAGGGAACTAAAAACTCACGTTTTCAATGATTGGCTGGCCACCATGGATAACACACCTCAAACATTTGATGTGGCACATAATTGTCAGAACTTTCCCTTTCATGTCTGACAATATAATCTCTCATGTGATTCTCTCATTGATCTGTCTCTTTATCCATTTATGTCTTTCCCTTGTATTCTCTCACTCCCTGCCTTATAGGGAGCCCAGGTTGTGTCAGAGGTAAGATGTGGTTTTACTGTAGTGTAAGGGTGATACAATCCCTGTGGCTCACCTGACTCCAGCTTTATTCTAAATGATTTATTTCCCTTTCACTTGGTATGTGCCATACTTTCACTCAATGATTTTATCTTGTGAATGCTTTGCTATCTTCTAATCCCTCATCTTGTTGCTTTTTGAAAGTTCTTATACTGTTAAGAGATATTAATTCTCACATGCACACACAAACCTATCTCATATGTATGTATATCTTCTAGCTAGTCCTACTTATTTTACATTGGATAGCGGTGTCAGAGCCAACAGGCTAGTGCAGATGCTTTGGCAAAGCCAAAAGTGGTTTGATAGGTAGGTAGGTACAGTTTATTTTATATTGTGAGTGGAAAGTTGTTTGGTTAGTGAGTTAATGAGTGCAGAGAATGTGGTTTAGAACTAGCCTGAGTCTTCATAGGGCCTTCATTGGGAGAGGTTTTTATGTGGAATTCCACTTCAAAGGCAAATTTTAATTCACAGAGCTTAGTTTTGTTTCATAGATGAAACAAAGCACTCAGATGATGCACTTTAAGTGTTGAAAAGCCTTTTCTATTGGACTGGATCAACACCTTCAGAACAACCACCTAGCTGTTTGAGCTGGAGTAGGTAACTGCTGCTGTTTTCAGACCCCTCAGTGGGTGTTGACATTACAGCTAGACTCTGCAGTGACTGATCTGCCTGGCTCTTCTCTCCCCAGTCCTCCATGTGCAGGGCTGTTTTGCAGCTGCTGGCGGTCCAGGGGCAGTATGCTGACATAACCTCTCCGCCAGACCCAGCACTACGACCCTGCAAGCCAGACACAGATTTATACTCTGTCTCACACAGTCCTCTAGCAGACAATTTCAAAAGACCAAAGACTGATCTAACATTTACTGAAACAGACCACAGTGCTGTACTAACCCCAGAACTTACAATTGCCAGCAGACTAATACCTGAAGAAGAACCCCCAGAGGCCACTCTAGTCGATCCGTCCCCTGCCTTTAACAGTAAACTTGAAGAGGAGTTATTTGACACTGACAAACCATTTGCAGATCCAACATCACTTCACCATGTGATAAATACGGACCTGCCAGTCTCAGAATTATCCTTATCAGAGCAACCAAATCTAAACTCACCAGAACCCTTAGCAACTGGCCCGACTGTTACAGAACCCTTATCAGATACTACCCTGACGGTTTCAGAAGCAGAACCCTTGGCAGATACTGCCTTGACTGTTTCAGAACCCTTAGAAGAACCCTTAAATGTCCCGATTGTTTCAGAATTAACTTTATCCGAACCACTTGTTAGAACAAACCCAGTTATTCCAGAATCAAACTCATCTGAACAGTCAGCTGCGATGGACTCTCAAGTATCAGAATCGACTTTACCAGAGCCTCCAATAACCTCTGATGCACCTATCATAGCCCACTCTTCAACAGAAGCAGAAATAAACTTTGACCAACTAACACTAGAACTAACATCACCAGAACGACCTCTAAACACAGGCCAACCGACCCAGGAATTAAACCTCTCAGAACCTGACATCAGTACTAACAGCGACACTACTAACTCATCCATATCTGAGCCTCAGCTGGCAGAGAGGAGCCAGAATACAGACATAATGTTGCTTTCACGCCCTGAGATCGCCCTCAGCTTGACTGAAGACACTCCTTTACCAGAGCCACAGCTTGCTGTGAGTACTGGCAGCCCCTCTGTATCTTACTCTCCTCCCCTCACAACCACTCACGCTTTTACAGTGCTCTGCATGCCCTTATGCACAGGTGCTGTGATCCTGCTGTTTTCTCACGCTAAGGCTAAGCCCATGGTGTGATGATCACTGTTTCCTTAGTGTTTGAATTGACTGGCTGTGTGAACCTGCCCACCCCAAAATGAACTATTTTCATCTTTGGTCTACAACACAATAATATGTTCTCTTTTTCCCCTCATTAACCATTCACATTTGAACATACATTATTCTGGATATGTCTGTTTCAGCCAATGAGGCGTTCTTGTTAGCTGATTGGTTCAGTGATTGAGACAATCTGACTTTTCACTGGTGATCTCAGTGACAATGGAGTGTTTATTCATGCTAGTTGGTGTTGTGGTGTGTGGATCAACCTCTGGAAGTGTAGGTATGTTTTATCTCAAGGTTATTCACTCCACCCTTTATCACTGTATGGGTCTGTCCTATTTCAGATACTTTTGTGCTGCCTCTCCTGGCTTGCCCAACTGCAGGTCTTGTGAAGTATTTTTGTAGTTGTGAAAAGACGTGATGATGTCTGGTAGAATGTACACATGGAGTGCATCTCTCAATGTCCTCTGTTTTATTTTAGGCCGCCAGCATGGTGGCGTCGTCACGTTCATATGCTGATTTCACTCCTGAGGCCACCTTTGACATAAAGGTAAGACAAAAATAAAACGTTTTTAGCTGATTGATTCTCACTGTTTGCCTTGATGAGATCGCATTGTGTGTGTTCCCTCGTATAGAAAGTGGACCTACATCGTCTGGAGGAGGGCCCACCTCTGACGGCCACTCTGACCCGGGAGGAGGGACTGAAGTACTACCGCACCATGCAGACCATAAGACGCATGGAGCTGAAGGCAGATCAGCTGTACAAGCAGAAGATCATCAGAGGCTTTTGTCATCTGTATGATGGCCAGGTTAGAGCGCACACAATCACTCTCATGGATTGTATAAGCAAATATAGTCTCGCATGTATACACACATACTTCATTCAAATATAAACGCTCAGAGATTCTGTTTGTTATTCTATGATAGGAAGCCTGTGCGGTTGGCATTGAGGGGGGTATCACCCTGTCAGATCACCTGATTACTGCATACCGCGCCCACGGCTATACCCTCACCAGGGGCGGGACCGTCAGGGAGATCATGGCTGAGCTCACTGGTGAGTGTACTTGACTTGACCCAATCCAATAGATAACTCTAATAAGAGCTAATAGTGCTGAACGATTAGTGCTTTTTGAGGTCGGTTCGATTATTAAAAAATAATCACGAATTTCGGTTTCTATTATTTTTTTAAACATTAAATGCATTATGAATTAATGATATTAAAATGACGAGAGATTTTTTAATGGAAATGTCAAAGCCAGAAATGGTGAACGTTAAATTGCCAAAACATTGAAAATATTCCATTGTCTTTGTCAGGTCCATATAGAAAAAAAGGAAATTACAATTAAATAATAAGATATTTCAGTTGTGTATATTACTTAGTTTTATTTTTTGACTTTATAATTTTTCATTCCTAAGTCATCTCATCTCCTCTGCTCAGACAGTAGCAGCCAGACAACCATCTAACATTCTGTGTTCTCCCCATACTGTACTGTCTTTAGTCATCCTATTTAACTAGGCTAGTCTGCCTAAGTATGCTGCAGAGCTGTCTGATGAAATAATTGTACTAGTTCTTCTCGTTGTTGTGTACATTACTCTCTCATGCAGCGGCGTATGCTATCTGTGTATCTAACCTAACATAGGAGGCGTAAAAGTGTATCCATCTGGGTCCGAGCCGGAAAAGAACAGGCGCAATGGATTATGGTCATTGTAGTTAATTACCACGGTTCTGCGCTGAACTAGGTTGAACATTTGCTACACTAGGTTGAACATTTGCTGTTTGGGTTAGTTCTTATTATACAATTTCACTGTAGAACCCCTAGTCCCTCTCAAACTGCCTCATATAGTTCCTTTGTTCCTCCCCCCATACACGCCGAGACCGGCTCAATCGATGCCTCCAATGACGCTATCTCTTTCATTGTTACCCAACGCTTAGGGTTACCTGAACTGTACTCATATCCTTCCATATCCTTTTCTGTACATAATGCCCTGAATCTTTTCTACAACGCCCGGAGAACTGCCCCCTTTATTCTATGTACCCAACGCACTAGAAGACCAGTTCTTAAAGCCTTTAGTCGTATCCTTATTCTAGTCCTCCTCTGGTGATGTAGAGGCTAACCCAGGCCCTGCAGCCCCCAGTATCACTCCTACTCCCCAGGAGCTATCATTTGTTGACTTCTGTAACCGTAAAAGTCTTGGTTTTCTGCACATAAATATCAGAAGCCTCCTTCCTAAGTTTGAGTTATTCACTGCGTTAGCACACTCCGCCAACCCTGATGTTCTAGCAGTGTCTGAATCCTGGCTTAGGAAGGCCACCAAAAATTCTGAAATTTCCATCCCCAACTATAACATTTTCCGTCTAGATAGAACTGCCAAAGGGGGTGGAGTTGCAATCTACTGTAGAGATAGCCTGCAGAGCTCCATCATACTATCCAGGTCTGTGCCCAAACAGTTTGAGCTTCTACTTCTAAAAATCCACCTTTCCAGAAATAAATCTCTCACTGTTGCCGCTTGCTACAGACCCCCCTCAGCCCCCAGCTGTGCCCTGGACACCATATGTGAATTGATTGCCCCCCATCTATCCTCAGAGTTCGTACTGCTTGGTGACCTAAATTGGGATATGCTTAACACCCCGGCCATCCTACAATCTAAACTAGATGCCCTCAATCTCACACAAATTATCAACGAACCTACCAGGTACAACCCTAAATCCGTAAACATGGGTACCCTCATAGATATCATCCTGACTAACTTACCCTCTAAATACACCTCCGCTGTCTTCAACCAGGATCTCAGCGATCACTGCCTTATTGCCTGCGTCCGTAACGGGTCCGCGGTCAAACGACCACCCCTCATCACTGTCAAACGCTCCCAAAAACACTTCAGCGAGCAGGCCTTCCTAATTGACCTGGCCCAGGTATCCTGGATGGATATAGATCTCATTCCGTCAGTAGAGGATGCCTGGTTGTTCTTTAAAAGTAATTTCCTCTCAATCTTAAATAGACATGCCCCATTCAAAAAATACAGAACTAAGAACAGATATAGCCCCTGGTTCTCCTCAGACTTGACTGCCCTTGACCAGCACAAAAACATCCTGTGGCGTACTGCATTAGCATCAAATAGCCCCCACGATATGCAACTTTTCAGGGAAGTTAGGAACCAATATACACAAGCAGTTAGGAAAGCAAAGGCTAACTTTTTCAAACAGAAATTTGCATCCTGTAGCACTAACTCCAAAAAGTTTTGGGACACTGTAAAGTCCATGGAAAATAAGAGCACTTCCTCCCAGCTGCCCACTGCACTGAGGCTAGGAAACACTATCGCCACCGATAAATCTACAATAATCGAGAATTTCAACAAGCATTTTGCTACGGCTGGCCATGCTTTCCACCTGGCTACCACTACCCCGGCTCTGCACCCTCCGCTGCAACTTGCCCATGCCCCCCCCGCTTCTCCTTCACACAAATCCAGACAGCTGATGTTCTAAAAGAGCTGCAAAATCTGGACCCCTACAAATCATCTGGGCTAGACAATCTGGACCCTTTCTTTCTAAAACTAGCCGCCGAAATTGTCGCAACCCCTATTACTAGCCTGTTCAACCTCTCTTTCGTAACGTCTGAGATCCCCAGAGATTGGAAAGATGCCGCGGTCATCCCCCTCTTCAAAGGGGGTGACACTCTAGATCCAAACTGTTACAGACCCATATCCATCCTGCCCTGCCTTTCAAAAGTTTTTGAAAGCCAAGTCAACAAACAGATCAACGACCATTTCGAATCCCACCGTACCTTCTCCGCTATGCAATCCGGTTTCCGAGCTGGTCATGGGTGCACTTCAGCCACGCTCAAGGTCCTAAACGATATTATAACCGCGATCGATAATAGACAGTACTGTGCAGCCGTTTTCATTGACCTGGCCAAGGCTTTCGACTCTGTCAACCACCGCATTCTTATTGGCAGACTAAATAGCCTTGGTTTCTCAAATGACTGCCTCGCCTGGTTCACCAACTACTTCTCAGATAGAGTTCAATGTGTCAAATCGGAGGGCCTGTTGTCTGGACCTATGGCAGTCTCTATGGGGGTGCCACAGGGTTCAATTCTTGGGCCGACTCTTTTCTCTGTGTATATCAATGACGTCGCTCTTGCTGCTGGTGACTCTCAGATCCACCTCTACGCAGACGACACCATTTTGTATACATCTGGCCCTTCATTGGACACTGTGTTAACAAACCTCCAAACGAGCTTCAATTCCATACAACACTCCTTCAGTAGCCTCCAACTGCTCTTAAACACTAGTAAAACTAAATGCATGCTCTTCAACCGAACGCTGCTTGCACCCGCCCACCCGACTAGAATCACTACTCTCGACGGGTCTGACCTAGAGTATGTGGACAACTACAAATATCTAGGTGTCTGGTTAGACTGTAAACTCTCCTTCCAGACTCACATTAAGAATCTCCAATCCAAAGTTAAATCTAGAATCGGTTTCCTATTTCGCAACAAAGCCTCCTTCACTCATGCTGCCAAACATGCCCTCGTAAAACTGACTATCCTACCGATCCTTGACTTCGGCGATGTCATTTACAAAATAGCCTCCAACACTCTACTCAGCAAATTGGATGTTGTCTATCACAGTGCCATCCGTTTTGTCTCCAAAGCCCCATATAATACCCACCACTGTGACCTGTACGCTCTTGTTGGCTGGTCCTCACTACATATTCGTCGCCAAACCCACTGGCTCCAGGCCATCTATAAATCACTGCTAGGCAAATCCCCGCCTTATCTTAGCTCATTGGTCACCATAGTAGTCTGCGCTCCAGCGGGTATATCTCACTGGTCATCCCCAAAGCCAACACCTCCTTTGGCCGCAATTCCTTCCAGTTCTCTGCTGCCAATGACTGGAACAAATTGCAAAAATCTCTGAAGCTGGAGACACTTATCTCCCTCACTAACTTTAAGCATCAGTTGTCAGAGCACCTTACCGATCACACAGCCCATCTTACCTGTACACAGCCCATCTGAAATTAGCCCGCCCAACTACCTCATCCCTATATTGTTATTTATTTTGCTCATTTGTACCCCAGTATCTCTATTTGCACATCATCTCTTGCACATCTATCATTCCAGTGTTAATACTAATTGTAATTATTTTGCACTATAGCCTATTTTATTGCCTTACCTCCATAACTTGCTAAATTTGCACACTGTATATTATATGTATTTCTGTTGTATTTTTGACTTTGTTTTGTTTTACCCCATATGTAACTCTGTGTTGTTTTTATCGCACTGCTTTGCTTTATCTTGGCCAGGTCGCAGTTGTAAATGAGAACTTGTTCTCAACTGGTTTACCTGGTTAAATAAAGGTGAAATAAAATAAAAAATAAATAAAAATAAAAACTACAACTCCCGTCAGCCCAGCGTCCCATATAGTTCTTGGCTTCATTTATCTCGTGAATGATTTGATTTCTCTCTAGAGAAACGGCGCGTTGGCTCACAAAAAAAAAACAAAATGGAATTAAAGTAATTGAAATTGTCTGTCAATTATTTGTTTAATAACCAAAAAAGCAACATTTGGTTAATCGCTCAGCACCAAGAGCTAATCATTCTACATTGCACCTCTGATTTTGTCTTCCTAACCATTCAAACACACCTCTTTCACTCATTATTTTCTTCCCTTGCTGTCTCACTAAGGTCGTAGAGGAGGCATTGCTAAAGGCAAGGGAGGCTCTATGCACATGTACACTAAAAACTTCTATGGAGGCAATGGCATTGTGGGAGCTCAGGTAATTCACAAAGGCCTAGCATTATTTATTTATCTTAGATTTGAAAGAATCCCATTTGATTCCTTTTTTAACCTGATCATTTGTCTAAGCTGTATATCCCATTCAAAGATGGTGGATTCTCCCTCTCAAATATAACACCTGCCTAATCTCCCCTCAGGTACCCCTGGGAGCCGGTGTAGCCCTGGCCTGCAAGTACCTGGGCAATGACCAGCTGTGTGTCAGTCTCTATGGTGATGGAGCAGCCAACCAGGTTTGACATACATGCTTCTTAACACCTGCATGCATTGAACATATGAAGTACAACGATTTGAGCCCAACTGTTGACTGAATTTTTATTAATCCACAGGGTCAGATCTTTGAGACATATAACATGTCGTCTCTTTGGAAGTTACCCATCATCTTCATCTGTGAGAACAACCAATATGGCATGGGCACATCAGTAGAGCGCTCTGCTGCCAGCACCGAATACTACAAGAGAGGAGACTACATTCCTGGCCTCAGGGTAGACTGCTAACTAATACATTCACGCTTCTGTATAACTTGCAAAATGTAATTCTTAAACTCAAGTAATGTATCTGTATCTGTATCCAGGTGGATGGGATGGATGTTCTGTGTGTTAGAGAGGCCACCAAGTTTGCAGCTGATCACTGCCGATCCGGAAAGGTGAGCATCAAGTATGGAGGGTTGTTGATTTTGTGTCTGTGTACTGTGTACAGGTTTGTGTGTTTTAAGTCGAAGTAGCACAACTGAGACTGTTTCTCTGCTCCACCTGTGTTCAGGGCCCTATCCTCATGGAGCTCCAGACCTACCGTTATCATGGACACAGCATGAGCGATCCTGGCGTCAGGTAAATGTCCACAGCTCAACTGAGTGTACCAAACAATGACTCCAATGCTTCCCAGTGTCAAATTGGCTGGATGTCCTTTGGGTGGTGGACCATTCTTGATACACATGGGAAACTGTTGAGCGTGAAAAACCCAGCAGCGTTGCAGTTCTTGACACAAACCGGTGTGCCTGCACCTACTACCATACCCCATTCAAAGGCACTTAAATCTTTTGTCTTGCCCGTTCACCTTCTGAATGGCACACAAACAGTGGGGAAAAAAAGTATTTAGTCAGCCACCAATTGTGCAAGTTCTCCCACTTAAAAAGATGAGAGGCCTGTAATTTTCATCATATGTACACGTCAACTATGACAGACAAAATGAGAAAACAAAATCCAGAAAATCACATTGTAGGATTTTTAATGAATTTATTTGCAAATTATGGTGGAAAATAAGTATTTGGTCAATAACAAAAGTTTCTCAATACTTTGTTATATACCCTTTGTTGGCAATGACACGGGTCAAACGTTTTCTGTAAGTCTTCACAAGGTTTTCACACACTGTTGCTGGTATTTTGGCCCATTCCTCCATGCAGATCTCCTCTAGAGCAGTGATGTTTTGGGGCTGTCGCTGGGCAACACGGACTTTCAACTCCCTCCAAAGATTTTCTATGGGGTTGAGATCTGGAGACTGGCTAGGCCACTCCAGGACCTTGAAATGCTTCTTACGAAGCCACTCCTTCGTTGCCCGGGCGGTGTGTTTGGGATCATTGTCATGCTGAAAGACCCAGCCACGTTTCATCTTCAATACCCTTGCTGATGGAAGGAGGTTTTCACTCAAAATCTCACGATACATGGCCCCATTCATTCTTTCCTTTACACGGATCAGTCGTCCTGGTCTCTTTGCAGAAGAACAGCCCCAAAGCATGATGTTTCCACCCCCATGCTTCACAGTAGGTATGGGGTTCTTTGGATGCAACTCAGCATTCTTTGTCCTCCAAACACGAGAAGTTGAGTTTTTACCAAAAAGTTATATTTTGGTTTCATCTGACCATATAACATTCTCCCAATCCTCTTCAGGATCATCCAAATGCACTCTAGCAAACTTCAAACGGGCCTGGACATGTACTGGCTTAAGCAGGGGGACACGTCTGGCACTGCAGGATTTGAGTCCCTGGCGGCGTAGTGTGTTACTGATGGTAGGCTTTGTTACTTTGGTCCCAGCGCTCTGCAGGTCATTCACTAGGTCCCCCCGTGTGGTTCTGGGATTTTTGCTCACCGTTCTTGTGATTATTTTGACCCCACGGGGTGAGATCTTGCGTGGAGCCCCAGATCGAGGGAGATTATCAGTGGTCTTGTATGTCTTCCATTTCCTAATAATTGCTCCCACAGTTGATTTCTTCAAACCAAGCTGCTTACCTATTGCAGATTCAGTCTTCCCAGCCTGGTGCAGGTCTACAATTTTGTTTCTGGAGTCCTTTGACAGCTCTTTGGTCTTGGCCATAGTGGAGTTTGGAGTGTGACTGTTTGAGGTTGTGGACAGGTGTATTTTATACTGATAACATGTTCAAACAGGTGCCATTAATACAGGTAACGAGTGGAGGACAGAGGAGCCTCTTAAAGAAGAAGTTACAGGTCTGTGAGAGCCAGAAATCTTGCTTGTTTGTAGGTGACCAAATACTTATTTTCCACCATAATTTGCAAATAAATTCATTAAAAATCCTACAATGTGATTTTCTGGATTTTTTTTCCTCAATTTGTCTGTCATAGTTGACGTGTACCTATGATGAAAATTACAGGCCTCTCATTTTTTTAAGTGGGAGAACTTGCACAATTGGTGGCTGACTAATTACTTTTTTTCCCCACTGTACACAATCCATGTCTCAATTGTCTCAAGGCTTAAAAATCCTTCTTTAACTTGTCTCCTCCCCTTCATCTACACTGATTTGAAGTGGATTTAACACGTGACATCAATAAGGGATCATAGCTTTCACCTGGTCAGTCTGTCATGGAAACAGCAAGCGTTCTTTTTTGTATGCTCTGTATATCGTTATTGGATTAGTAGATTAGTATTGTTGATGCCATAGACATGATTATTATTACCTACCTATCTGTTATTTTCTCTGTAGAAGTTATTTGAACTCCATCAGTAAACAGGTTTCCACCCAACCATTTAATGCGAAGGATTTACCTGGCGCATAAAAACAGTCACGACAGGGGTAATGGAAACAGGAAATGTCGGATAAGATTCATAAATGTCGACAGACAATTTGTTCGTTCGACAGGGTGGGATCTTTTTGTGTCTGTAAAATGTATTATGTGAGAAATGGGGGTGGAAACACCTTTTTATGCACAAATATTGATATAATAACCACAAGTCACGCAATATGTTACATTGTAGGCCTACCACCACGATGCAGGAAAGCATATAGGTAGATGAAATAAGTTATGATGAACTTCACATGCTGGTTAAGTGCACAGTGATCATGCACATTTCCAATAGGCTAAATATCGAGGGTAGACTATTTGAATGCTGGTGACATGATAATCGCTGTTTGCTGCCAATAATCAAATAAAATGATCTTGCTCTTATCCATATCTCATCATAAAACCTGTCCACTTTATCAGCAAACTTGTCTAGAGAGCATGCGCCAAAACCAGATTGGGCAAGTTTTCAATTTAACAGTTTTTGCGACAAAACCCTCGGCAGAGTTGATATATATTTTTTACGGAGTGGCTGCGGATCCGACTTTTCTGGACCTTTCTTCCCGACAGCTAAAGGTCCCGACGCTTCTGCGCATGCGCGGGATTCTCTACTTACTCAGTCCCTGCTCTACTCGTGGAGAACAGGCTATTCTGGCGATTGGTGCTTGTTCAATAAAGTTAGATCAAAGCTGAATCAATGTCTGCAACATCACATGATGATAGTATTGTACATAACAGAACCCAATATAATAGCATAGCATATTACAGGGATACTCAACTACTACGGGGGGGTAGAACTGGGGGGTTACCTACAGATCTGCAGCCACAGCCTATTTTTCTTTAAATTGGGTACATGGGAACTTTTTTATGTGCACTACGTCATCACACACAGACTTTTCTCCGCAACAAATCAGTTTGATGGAAACACCTCTGGTGGGAAAATACGCAGATTTTTTTTGAATATTCGCATGAAAATCTGGCACCAATTGGATGGAAACCTAGCCTAGTGCTGACCTACCAGGGATTCAACAGCTAGTTTTTCAGTGCTTTAATATATTGCTGCCCTTGCACTCTGCTATGTCCCCCAGTAGCCTCCTCCCTGCATTCTCTTACCTGCCGTAGTGACACTGCATACCCCTACCCCGCTCTTTCCCCTTCCTTAGCTACCGCACACGTGAGGAGATCCAGGAGGTCCGTAGTAAGAGCGACCCCATCTCCATGCTGAAGGACCGCATGCTTAGCAACAACATGGCCAGCATAGAGGAGCTCAAGGTGATTCTCAAATATTCACTAATATACTGGCCATTCGACACAGTATGAATAGGCAGTATATACATAGTCAAGATAGATTCATATCTTTTGACTAAGTTTGAAAAATGCATGATTATTGATGCATTGTAAATAGTTACAGCTGACAGAAACATGTCTTGGAGGATGTAATGACCAAACTTCCCTTGTCCTGTATGTGTGCAGGAGATTGATATTGCGGTGAGGAAGGAGATTGAAGACGCTGCACAGTTTGCTACCACAGACCCAGAGCCCCCTCTGGATGACCTGTGTAGCCACATCTTCGCCAACGATCAGCCCTTTGAAGTGCGTGGCGCCACCCCATGGACCAAAGCTGACGTCGACCAGCTAAAGGCTCTCATGCCCCACCCTTTTGTCTTCCAGGCCCTTCCCCTATGCTCCATCAACGCACACTTATCTTTGCACACATCACATTCCTCATCTCAGCCAATGGCCTTCATGGACTCTAATCTTCTTGCCCCCCCACACACACATTATCCCATGCCGACAATAACTTATACCACCCATTTATTTTCCCTTGAGAGCCCTAATCCAAACACTCCACACCCAAAAAGAGTGCCTGACTGATGTCATACCTCATTGACTAACTCTGAGTCATTGCTACTTGCAGTGCTCATGCCACACTATTGGCTCTTGTCTTTTCTGTTGAAAAGTCACTTAAAACACAAGAGAAGTAAGAAGAGCCTTTCATTATCCCTCTCCAAATGTTGTTGTGAGACTGGTCACTTGGACCAATTGTCCTTATCAACATTACTGGTATAACATAGTCCCGTGTAGCTCAGTTGGTAGAGCATGGCGCTTGCAACGCCAGGGTTGTGGGTTCGATTCCCACGGGGGACCAGTGTGGAAAAAAATAAAATGTATGCACTAATTAAGTCGCTCTGGATAAGAGCGTCTGCTAAAATGAAAAAAAAAAAATGTATTCATATTTGATTTTTTTTTTTTTTACTCCCTATCCAAATAAGATTAAATAAAGGGTATATTAAATAAAGGGCTTTACGTTGGGATGTTAGCATTTTTATATATCTTGCCAAATCAAACCTGTGCCTGTGGGATCTTGTCTGTGTTTGGAAGATGTGTGTCACTCGTAGCGGAGCACTAAAGATCCACATGAATGAAGGCGGAGTCTGGAAATTGTGGTGTGATGCTTCAGAGACAGATTATTGAATACTGCTGACCTCATGCCTTCACTGTGTTAGTCATACACCATTTTTGTAGACCATCACCTTCTAAATCATAATGCCCCCTGCTCTCTAGTTCCCTGAAATAATTGTTTTGTCCTATCAGCCTCGTATTTATTGCTGAATGTGTTTTGCACCTAACGTACCAGTACTCAAACTATAACTGCTTCAAGAAGGAATAGAAAATGCCTCTTTTGGGAGTCTTGGTGGTCAACTGTTACAGTGAATAATGGTCATACTACAGAACAGTGGGGCACTACACAGGGATCTGTCCTGGTTTTCCCCCGGAGGTGATGAGATCAGGAAGTGTATGTGCTCCGTTATTGTCTGTCAAAACAAATAAACATTGAAAGAAACTAATGAACTTGTTTTGGGCTTTGTATATGTGAATGTGTGGTCCACTGGCTCAGTTGGTAGAGCACAGCGCTTGCAACGGCATGATTGTGGGTTTGATTCCCGCTGGGACCACCCATACAAAAATGTATGCATGCGTAACTATGTTGCTTTGGATAAAAGTCTGCTAAATGGCATATATGCTGTTTTTTAAGAGCAAGAGAAAGTGTGTGATATATATATATATATATAAAAATTATATACAGTACCAGTCAAAAGTTTGGACACCTACTCATTCCAGGGTTTTTCTTTATTTTTACTATTTTCTACATTGTAGAATAATAGTGAAGGCAAACTATGAAATGACACATGGAATCATGTAGTAACCAAAAAAGTGTTAAACAAATCAAAATATATTTTATGTTTGAGATTCTTCAATGTAGCCACCCTTTGCCTTGACAGCTTTGCACACTTGGCATTCTCTCAACCAGCTTCACCTGGAATGCTTTTCCAACAGTCTTGAAGGAGTTCCCACATATGCTGAGCACTTGTTGGCTGCTTTTCCTTTACTCTGCGGTCCAACTCATCCCAAACCATCTCAATTGGGTTGAGGTTGGGTGATTGCGGAGGCCAGGTCATCCGATGCAGCACTCCAACACTCTCCTTCTTGGTCAAATAGCCCTTACACAGCCTGGAGGTGTGTTGGGTCATTGTCCTGTTGAAAAACAAATTATAGTCCCACTAAGCCCAAACCAGATGGGATGGCGTACCGCTGCAGAATGCTGTGGTAGCCATGCTGGTTAAGTGTGCCTTGAATTGTAAATAAATCACAGACAGTGTCACCAGCAAAGCACCCCCACACCATAACACCACCTCCTCCATGCTTTACGGTGGGAAATACACATGCAGTGATCATCTGTTCACCCTCACCGCGTCTCACAAAGACATGGCGGTTGGAACCAAAAATCTCCAATTTGGACTCCAGACCAAAGGACAGATTTCCACCGGCCTAATGTCCATTGCTCGTGTTTCTTTGCCCAAGCAAGTCTCTTCTTATTGGTGTTCTTTAGTAGTGGTTTCTTTGCAGCAATTCGACCATGAAGGCCTGATTCACACAATCTCCTCTGAACAGTTGATGTGTCTGTTACTTGAACTCTGCAAAGCATTTATTTGGGCTGCAATTTCTGAGGCTGGTAACTCTAATGAACTTATCCTCTGCAGCAGAGGTAACTCTGAGTCTTCCATTCCTGTGGCGGTCCTCATGAGAGCCAGTTTCATCATAGCTCTTGATGGTTTTTGCGACTGCACTTAAAGAAACTTTCAAAGTTCTTGAAATGTTCCATATTGACTGACCTTCATGTCTTAAAGTAATGATGGACTGTCGTTTCTCTTTGCTTATTTGAGCTGTTCTTTCCATAATATGGACTTGGTATTTTACTAAATAGAGCTGTCATCAAGGCAAAGGGTGGCTACTTGTTTAACACTTGTTTAACACTTTTTTGGTTACTACATGATTCCATGTGTTATTTCATAGTTTTGATGTCTTCACTATTATTCTACAATGTAAAACCTTGAATGAGTAGGTCTGATAAAACTTTTGACCGGTAGTGTATATATACACTTTATTTTATCCCTTGCTAATAAACGGCATGGTTGGGATGCTCAATGTTACACAATGACATGGCTATTTGACTAATAGGACCCCACTGTAATAAATCCTAGGTGACATTTGCCATCTCAAGCCATATTTGATAATGTTCGTTTGTAAAAGACATTGCTTATCATTACCTGTCTTGAGGACGGTATCTTGTCCCTCCCAACCAATGACATATGGGTGACGCATTCCTCAGCCTCGTTGTGACAGACAGGTAAACCGAGCCACGGCGCCATATTGACAACGGAAGTGAGTGATTTTGTTGTGGATAAAGTGTATGTAGTTTCAAGAAAACATTAGAAAGAGTGTTAAAAGTAGTTGATACCTACAGTTACATTGAAACCCTCGAACGATTTTGTTTTTCTCGTTGAACAGAGACCTCAAGGAATACTTTTACTTATCTCACTCTTGAAAACTTAAAGTCACTGGAATCTAGCGACTGAACTGAATTCCTGTCGAAGATGCCATTGGCACAGTTTGGAGCAGACCCTTGGCAGAAAATGGCATTGGGCAATTCGGAAACCGAGGTAAATAGGCATGCCAATGAATGACCTATGGCCACCGTAGCTGTCATTTGTAATCAATGATTGCCGCGGTCTCTTGTGAATTGACGTCCTCCCTAGAGTTTGTGGGACAGCAACTTCGTTTTAGTTTCGCACAAACGGATTTTAAAACTTAAACGATTAACAAAAGGACAGCATTGTGATCTTAAGCTGTCTTATTTTCTCAAGTGCAGGTTGCTACATTGTAACAAGCCAGTGGAGGCTGCTGAGGGGAGGACGGCTCATAATAATGGCTGGAATGGCATCAAGCACATGGAAACCATGTATTTGATAAAATTCCACTCCAGGCATTACCATGAGCCCGTCCTCACCAGTTAAGGTGCCAGCAACCTCCTTTGGTAAAAACAGACCTTTGTTGCCCGAAGGAAGCTGTGGTGGGTAAAAAGGGATGTAGCTAAGTTGGTAGAGAATGGCGTTTGCAACACCAGGGTTGTGGGTTCAATTCCCACGGGGGGCCAGTATGAAAAATAAAATAATGTATGCACTCACTAACTGTAAGTCGCTCTGGATAAGAGCGTCTGCTAAATGACTAAAATGTAAATGTAAAAAAACGAATCGCAATACACTGAGTGCACAAAACATTAGGAACACCTGCTCTTTCCATGAGACTGACCAGGTGAATGCTACGATTCCTTATTGATGTCACTTGTTAAATCCACTTCAATCAGTGTAGGTGAACCATAAGACAATTGAGACATAGATTGTGTATGTGTGCCATTCAGAGGGTGAATTGGCAAGACAAAATATTTAAGTGCCTTTGAATGGGGGTATGGTAGTAGGTGCCAGGCGCACCAGTTTCAGTGTGTCAAGAACTGCAACGCTACTGGGTTTTTCACGCTCAACAGTTTCCTGTGTCTATCAAGAATGGTCCACCACCCAAAGGACATCCAGCTAAACTTGACACAACTGTGGGAAGCATTGGAGTCAACATGGGCCAGCATCCCTGTGGAATGCTTTTGACACCATGTAGTCCATGCTGATGAATTGAGGCTGTTCTGAGGGCAAAAGGGGGTGCAGCTCAATTAGGAAGTTGTTCGTGTTCCTAATGTTTTGGACACTCAGTGTATGAATCATAGCTACTCACTCACTAGCTGCTGGGCTGGCTGGCCTTTGGGCTACTCACTCACTACAGGGAACATGCTATGTTTATTGGACAAGTTCTAACGTGTAAACAAGGCCTATTAATTAATACAGTTATATTTCTATATGTTTTATAATCAACTGAACAATTGAAGCATATTTAGACCGTGTCAAAAAATACCAGCCAATCTCAATTGTGTGTACGTTTTTATTAAATTTGTATTAACAATAATAAATCAATACAAAGGTACATGGGGAACACAAGTATACAGAAATAGTATACAAATTACAATGGGGCTAGGGGGTACAATAACACATTACACAAGGACCTTAAGGGATAGAGAGAGATTATAACTTATGTGTTGTACAGGTCATGGATGACTCCATGGGGGATGATGACGATACTGCATGCAGTGTAAGTAAAAAAAAAAAATTAATATAATCTCACCTTCTGTCTTCTCCCTGACTGTCTAATTTCCACAGTTGGTGTGTGCATATGTGTTTATGTTCTGTTTTCTCTCTGTCTTCTCTCTGTCCCTCTTCCCTCCTCTCTCTCTCTCACACACTCACTCACTCACTCACTCACTGAAACACCTACATTCAGGCACTCCACAATAATGCTGAGTACTATGTATTAATATGGCGTAGTGGTGGAGTCGGTGGGAGTAAAGGGCGGAGTAAAGGGCGAGCAAAATGGGTAGCGAAGATGAGGGGGTAGCGAAAGAGCGTGAGAGCGACTGTGAAAGAGAGAGGGAGCATTCTGTGTCTTTAGTCATCCTCCTCCACACCTCCTCTGATGCAATGGGAGGGGGTGTTGGCGGCATGGCAACCAGTTGCAAGCTGTCAGTCAGGAGCTCTCTCTCTCCCGGCTGATCAGAGTGCAGCGCAGTCTCCCGCACCGCATCCTCTCGGCCACTGACACAGGGAGAGGGGCTCTGCTGGTCCAGCACAGGCATGGGGGATTTGGCCTCCGCTTGGGCAGAACACGGGCCAAAGAAGGACTTCACTGAAAGCTGGTGTGCTGTATGTGGGTCTGGTTTGGTGTTGTGTTTGGGTGGGAAAGCATGGGAGTTTATTTCTCCATCCTCCCACAGTATCTTATTAAGTGCAGAGAAAAGACGCTGAGTATGCGGTCTCTTTCTTAGTAGGGTTTTACATCAAAGGTTGTGAATGTATTTTATTAGATTCATTCTATTGCCTTGTATATTTGCTTATTCTTTGCATGTCTCGTGTGTTTGTTTTCGTACTTGCATGTGCATTTGTTTATAGAATGGCTGTGTATTGTTGTACTTTTCCCACATTGCTGTGCTGTGTATTTGGTGCGTGCCTGGCTTTGGCTTGACTGCGTCTCTTTTCTTTCACAGGATGAGGGCTTTGTGAATGAGATCAGTATAACACATCATGTTAAAGAGGGCTCTGAAAGGGCTGATCGTCGGCAGTTTGAGCTGCGCAAGGTCCTGGGACAGGGCTCCTTTGGGAAGGTAAATGATTGTGAGGTTGACATTTGTAGACGCAGTGGTCGGAATTTGTATTTGTTCTTAATGTTGATATTATTCATATGAATAATGGTTGGAAGTATGATCATACATCTCTGAACTGATTTGTGTCTCTGTCTATCGATGTTCAGGTGTTCCTTGTGAAGAAAATAACAGGGCCTGATGCTGGACAGCTCTATGCTATGAAGGTGCTGAAAAAGGCCACATTGAAAGGTACATTAGTCTGCACTGATTTGTGTGAATTTGTTTATTTTGAATATCTTGCTTGCACTGGGTTTAGAGCTACTTTACAACTACAGTATATATATATATATATTTCTTGTTGAATTCTATACAGCCGTGTTTTACTTATTATTATTATTATTATTAATATCACGTATCACCAGTGCGAGATAGGGTCCGGACCAAGATGGAGCGAGACATTCTGGTGGAGGTGAACCATCCTTTTGTCGTCCGACTACATTACGGTGAGTTATCAGACATCTGACTGACCTGCCATATTTTTTCTAACGTCTGAGATGATCAAAACTTACAGATGAGTTTTGAGTTGAACATGTACCCATGATTCTTCGCAGCATTCCAGACAGAAGGGAAGCTGTACCTGATTCTGGACTTCCTCAGGGGTGGAGATTTATTCACGCGGCTGTCCAAAGAGGTGAACAAAATGTTAATGCTGAGGGGGGTTGTTTTACACTGAACAAAAATATAAACGCAATATGTAAAGTGTTGGTTTCATGAGCTGAAATGAAAGATCCCAGAAAATGTTCATACGCACAAAAAGCTTATTTCTCTCAATTGTTTTGTCACACAACACAATGCCAAAGATGTCTCAAGTTAAGGGAGCGTGCAATTGGCATGCTGACTGCAGGAATGTCCACCAGAGCTGTTGCCAGAGAATTGAATGTTCATTTCTCTACCATAAGCCGCCTCCAACGTCATTTTAGAGAATATGGCAGTACGTCCAACCGGCCTCACAACCGCAGACCACGTGTAACCACACCAACCCTGGACCTCCACATCCGACTTCTTCACCTGCGGGATCGTCTGAGGGGGGAGGGGGGGTACTGAGGAGTATTTCTGTCTGTAATAAAGCCCTTTTGTGGTAAAAAACGAATTATGATTGGCTGGGCCTGGCTCCCCAGAGGGTGGGCCTATGCCCTCCCAGGCCCAGTCATGGCTGTGCCCTTGCACAATCATGTGAAATTCATAGATTAGGGCCTAATGAATTTATTTCAATTGACTTATTTCCTTATATGAACTGTAGCTCAGTAAAATCTTTTAAATTGTTGGATGTTGTTTTATATTTTTGTTCAGTATATTTAAAAAAAGGACAATTATTGAATAATTGCTGTGTGTTGTGTGTTCTTTTAACCAGTCTCTGTCTCCATACTCCCAGGTGATGTTCACAGAGGAGGATGTGAAGTTCTACCTGGCAGAGCTGGCTCTGGCCCTGGACCATCTGCATGGCCTGGGAATCATCTACAGAGACCTGAAACCTGAGAAGTACCTATTACACTAATGCTATAAACATTGCTTATTCACATTAGGTACTTGTTTCTCTTCCAATCAGCAACCTGGAAAATACTTGTGTATTCTTTATATTTAAATCTAATGTTATTTTGAGTGAAATCTATTTTGAGCTTAGAAGACCATGTTACATGCTGTCTATTTAATGTATGAGTTTCTGCTGGGGGATGTTGTTTTCCTCTCTGACTGAGATCACTCTGTCCTTTCAGCATTCTGTTAGATGAGGAGGGACATATCAAACTCACTGGTGAGTAATGCTTTCATATTTCATATTCACATTCAGCCTGACTCAGCCACCAAGCAGAATAGGAAAGCATTGTTAGTCTTATTAATGCATTTGCATGTAATTTTAGGAGCCCTCAGTTTGCCTATGTACCATTTCTGCTTGATTATGAATAGAATTTAAACACAAGCTCATTTTCAGCTCGACTCATTTTGCTGCTTTGTTTGTTCCAGACTTCGGCCTGAGTAAAGAGTCCATTGATCATGACAACAAGGCCTACTCTTTCTGTGGAACAGTGGAGTACATGGCACCAGAGGTCGTGAACCTCCGAGGACACACCCTTAGCGCTGACTGGTGGTCCTATGGCGTGCTCATGGTGAATGCTGTAGCTCTTTAACCTTTTATTACTCTGAGATGTGTTCAAATATCTGACTGGTATCAAGTGTCTTCATATCTGCCTAGATGGGCCAATGTGTCCAATGGCTGACAGTACCACTGAGTGGACATGGGAATAAAACTGTTTTCATCTTCCCCAGTTTGAGATGCTGACTGGAACACTGCCTTTCCAAGGGAAGGATCGGAAGGAAACCATGACAATGATACTGAAGTGTGTCCTACTCAACATGTCCCGTTCTCTAGTACCAGTTTTACCAGGCTGTTTAAATTGTTATCCATAATTTGTTCTTAATCTACCATAGTAATTTTTTTGTTTGCATTGCAGGGCCAAGCTGGGAATGCCACAGTTCCTGAGTCAAGAGGCCCAGTCTCTCCTACGTAACCTGTTCAAACGCAACCCAGGCAACAGACTAGGTAATCAATCTCATCACTAAAAATGTATTTTGTGTCGTGGCTTGTAACTAATGGGTGGCTGAAATAAATCACACTCAAACTGAAAAAAACTAGTCAGACTTTACTGAAACATCACTGAATGTTTGCAGAACTGCAATCCTATTACCACAGCTATCCTGATGTAATGTGTGTGGTTTTTGTTGGTCACAGGTGCTGGTCCAGACAGAGTGGAAGAGATCAAGAGACATTCCTTCTTTTCCACTATTGACTGGAATGTAAGTTCGGCTGTTCAGATGTGTACCATCTGCCCACTGCTCTGTCCTTGTGTATTATACATGTTGTTTTGTGTGTTTTTAACATACATGTTTAGGTTTATTCCAATGAGTATCCCTTTTTCTTGGTATGCCTGTAGAAATTATTCAGGAGAGAGATCCATCCCCCCTTTAAACCTGCGAGTGGCAGACCTGATGACACTGTCTACTTTGACTCGGAATTCACTGCAAAAACTCCACGAGGTAAATAAAAGAATATTGTTTGGCGCTTTTACAATACACAGTTTCATAATCTGAACAGTGTTATTGGCGGCAGGTAGCCTAGCGGTTAGATAGTTGGGCCAGTAACCGAAAGGTCGCTAGTTCGAATCCCAGAGCCGACAAGATGAAAAAAATCATCTGTGCCCATTGCTCCAGAGTCGCTGTTGATAGTGGCAGACCCTGCCCGTGACCCCACTCTCCGAGGGTGTCTCGGGGAGTCAGACAAATGATTTCCAATTCACACATGCGTATAATACACACTCGTACATGTGTGAAATAGGACAAATAAATGTGTAAGAGCCATTTTGATGTATGTTGTGTCTGTTTGGTCTTCTCACCACTAGAGAGCAGTCTCACTTGGTTTATGGGTCAGGTGTATAGGGTCACAGGCAAACAGATAGTAGGGCTGCATGGTTTTTACCGCTATTCAACCCGGATTACTCGACCACAAACCATCGTCACCAAGGTAAATCATCAAGTTTAATATGTCATCGTATTATTTTGTTAATTAAATGGGAACATCGCTCAACAGTATATCAAAGTCTGGACATGACATCATTAGCAACAGTTTCCATCACTCATGCATCAAGTGGCGAACTGGAACATAACAATAGCCAGAACAATAAGCACCCACTATTATTATTATTATTATTATTAATAATAATTGTGTGTGTGTGAATGAAAAGTAGTGAGCGGATTGACATGAGGATTGTCCCTACAGACTCTCCCGGCTGTCCCCCGAGTGCCAACGCCCACCAGCTTTTCAAAGGCTTCAGCTTCGTGGCCATCTCGGAGGAGGAGAGTCAACCACCACAGAACATCAACATGACCTCAATACAGGTACCAACACATACATTATGGGGTATGATCCCTGCTGTTATATGGTTGTGTGTGGAAATAACAGAACTGGTCGTTATATCTGACTCTCTGTCTCTTCAGCAACTCCACAGAAATGCAGCACAGTTCAGTGAAGCATACGATGTGAAGGAGGATATCGGTGTTGGCTCTTACTCCATATGCAAACGCTGTGTTCAGAAGAGCAACAGTATGGAGTATGCTGTGAAGGTGAGCTGTAACACTGTCCTTAAACATGGTCAATATCGCACTCTTGGGCTGCCCATGTTAGAATGGTATGATTAACGGTTATTACTGATGTTATTAACTCAGATCATCAGTAAGGCCAAGAGGGACCCCGCAGAAGAGGTGGAGATTCTTCTGCGCTACGGACAGCACCCCAACATCATCACTCTCAAAGATGTGAGTCATTACATCAGCAGTATGCTCATGAAGCAAGCAACACTGTTTTGCTTTTAAGCCACAGTTGAAAGTTACAGCAAGATGGTTGCTATTATTCTAGATTCACATGTTTGGTTGTTTCATTGTTTGGCTAGTATGTCTATGTTCTGAGAGAGTTATGGGCATATTTCCTCGGACTAATTTTGTCTCCATTTTTTGTGATTGTGCTGAATACTCTTCTATAATGAGTCATGTTATTTGTGAGTATCTCTCTAGGTGACAGTGTGAGGTTGTGCTCTGTTGACTGTAGGTGTATGACGATGGGCGCTCTGTGTACCTGGTGACAGAGCTGATGAAAGGAGGGGAACTGCTGGATAAGATCCTCCGACAGAAGTTCTTCTCTGAGAGGGAGGCCAGTGCAGTTCTCCACACCATCACAAAAACTGTGGAGTACCTGCATGGACAGGGGGTAAGCAATCACCATCACTATGATACATAATACTAATATATTATGCTTTCCAAGTATGTATTATATTTTTTACCTAGAGCACTTTGGTACTTTCAATGCACTATGTGGACCTTTTCCTGTATGTGACGATCGACTTATGATCTCGTCACATCATTTAAAAACATACCTTATATCAATAACCAGACATTTGAAACGCTTTATTGGTTCATGAGAATGCACATATATTTATTGAATTTAATGCGTTTACCTATGTCCTTCGGTGCTGCCGACGTTCGCCTGTAACGAGAGAAATGCATGTTAGAGTTTACGTAGACAGTCATTTGGTTTTGGGTGCGCCAACCATTTGTTTGTAGTGCTGTGTTACTCAATCATAGTGTCCCTTTTCTTAGCAATATTAACATTCAAGTGCACATACTTTGGTAATGTAATCGCTAGGTTAAAGGTAAAGAATTGTTCGCAAACGTACCTGTTTTTCACGTTATTGAAGAGGGTTCTGTTAATTTCCTGTTCAGAGAATTGATGGGAAAATGGGGCTCGTTCGAGCGCATGGTTTGAGGGTGCGGGTAATGCGGTAGTATCTTATTACGATAGACGTACATGTTTTTATCCCAGGTTATTGATGCTTAAAGCATGGTTGCACCTTTATTGAAATGTGTGCTGGTATAATTACATACTCTATGTTTATTTGAACATGTCTGTATGGTATATCATGTGCTTTAGATGTTAATTGACCAGCTACAGTATGTGTAAGGGTTTCCCATTGGTCAGTTGCATCATGGGTATTGCTATAAAAAGCCTGTCCTCTCATTGTTTGAGGGACAGGACAGAGAACAGTTTGGCATGCTGCTCGTTTTGTTTGAAGAGCTCTATTTGATCCAGTTTATTATTTTAAAGAATGTAAATACTTGTACATTTTCACGGCTTTTATTATCTTCACTTGCAAATAAAAAGCCTCACTCTGGGCAAGAAAAATCCATTGACTTCGTCAGCCTCCTCACTGTTAAAATCCTACCGCACACTATATAGGAAATACGAGTTGGCTATCTATGAAATTTGACTCCTTGACTTAGGATGTCACTGATGGAATATCTGTCCCCCTGCTCAGGTTGTCCACAGAGACCTGAAGCCCAGTAACATCCTGTATGTGGATGAGTCTGGAAACCCAGAGTCGATCCGGATCTGTGACTTTGGCTTCGCCAAACAGCTGAGAGCTGAAAACGGGCTCCTGATGACTCCCTGCTACACGGCCAACTTTGTCGCCCCCGAGGTGTCTCTTCTTCTACATGTTTCTGTGATTAGTACCTGCATCCTCAGCTAATGTTTGTCTAACTGTATAACTTGTCCAACGTGTTTTCAATATATTTGTCTAGTAGCTGACACAATATTCTTTGCTTTCTGTATTCTAATGCAGTGTGCAATACTTAATGTTGTTGTTAGGTGCTGAAGAAACAGGGCTATGATGCAGCGTGTGATATCTGGAGTCTGGGAGTACTGCTCTACACAATGCTTACTGGGTATGTGCGCTCTACCAACAGTAATGCAGGCAATAGCCAATGATGTGCATACAAATATAATATTAACACAGAAATACAATACAGTACAAGAGGACCAATAAAGTACTTTCATATTTTATAGGTCCTTTGAAGTATGTATTTCTCTTGATGTTTCAGGTTCACTCCTTTTGCCAATGGACCAGAGGATACTCCTGAAGAGGTCCTGGCTCGGATTGGCAGTGGAAAGTTTTCTCTGAAGGGCGGCTACTGGAACTCTGTCTCAGCAGAGGCCAAGGTATGTCTGGAACATCGGCAGCACTGTGCTTCCCATAGTATCCAATTACTCTGTGATAGTAGTTTCCAAAGTAAATACTTTTCCTAGCACAATGTACTTGAGGTTAATGCACAAACTGAACTTTGGATTGCTCTCTTTAGGACCTAGTGTCCAAGATGCTGCATGTGGACCCCCACCAGAGGCTAACTGCTGCTCAGGTGCTGCGACACTCCTGGATAGTACACAAGGACCGGTTGCCCAAGTCCCAGCTCAATAGACATGATACTCCTCATTTGGTCAAGGTAACAATAAAACTTTATTCAATGCACAAAATTCTCTATTTTCTGCCACTCTGAAATAAATTATTTGCTGGGTATTGATAAATTAACTCCAAGACTGTTCTCTCTCTCCTCCCACAGGGTGCGATGGAAGCCACTTACTCTGCTCTGAACATGCATGTTCCCCCTGTGCTGGACCCTGTAGGACACTCCTCGTTAGCTCAACGAAGAGGAGTGAAGAAGTTGACCTCCACAGCCCTGTGATCCACCTGCCACTAGTATCAATCTCACCTGCACCAGTGCATTAGTGTGAGTTTCGACTCCCACTGTGTTAGAATAACAGTATGTAAGACCAAAAAGAAACTTAACAATGTATTTGCTTGTACAATCTTCACTGCCTACAGATCAAGTTACAAGACAGTATATATTATTTTATGAAAATGAGATTTTTTACTGCAAAAATATCATTAACTGTGTACGGACCTTTGCCCAATTGCAAATCAACCTAAGCCCCTACCACTACCTATGCACTTGTGTAAATCTGATAATATTAGATAGGTACTCAATATGGAGCTATTACAATATTGCTTATACCCATCTATTGGGCAAACTCCTCAATTCTACAACAATCAGTTTACCAAGACCCTGTCAAACTGGGGGGAGAACATGTGCTAACCTCTGCTGCTGCACTTTCTCTCAGACCTTTGTGTTGGGTCAAAAGGGGTTTCTTTTTTTAATCAGTCTTTACATTTTTTGTCCTTCTCATGATTTATAAAGGGAAACGTGAACAAGGTATATACTTATAGCAATTAAGATTACTTTTACAGTCTAGTTTTAAGAGCCTATTAAGAATTTATTTTTGTATGTGGATGAATGAAACATTTCCTACTTGGTGTGCATGACTGATGAGGCCACAGGACAGCTTTGTTTGAAAGGGAAGGGCTTTCCAAGAAGCTGTTGTGGAAATGTAACAAGCTAGATGGAGGTGAGAATAGACACTGTATTTCCCCTCTGTTTTGGCATCTATCTATCCATGTTTTTACAGATAAAAAAAAATAAAAAAATATCAGGTGTGGTCCAGGCAAGTGACTGCAGCTTATTTTGTAGCTTCAAAAATGAAATTGATCACGATTAAATAAATATACAATCAAATAATGTATCAGTCTTTTATTATTTCCTCCACTGAAAAGTCAAATAATGTAGGCGACCAGATAGGGGGTAGGAAACCACTTTCTATAACCAAATACTGCTTCACGCAAGCACAGTACGGTGTTCCAAGAGGAAGAGGTTTCCCAAGAAAAAAGTATATCTGGCAAAATTTTGTTAAGGAGATGGGAAACTCCACTGGAATGGTATTAACGCCCATTGTGTACGTTGCCCATGCTTCGTCAATGGGCCTCAGTGCATTCTTGGCCATTCTGGGATAAGGAGAGGTCTCCTTCAAGGAGTGAATGGGAGTCAATTGGGCGGTAGCTCAAAAAAACAACATTAGTATTAATTTCGTGAAGAAGTACAACATTACAAATCTTTTCCGAGATAATTAACCTGTTCTCTGTAATATCATACAGCTTTGAAATCGTAACATTACGTACTTTCGAGGAAAATAGGCAGATTTCTCGATTTACCCTGACTTTGAGAAGGGATTGCCTGACGATTAATTTAGCAACCGCGTGACGTGACATTACAACGTGAACGCGATTGGTCGACAGTCTGCTGGGTGGGGCGTTATAGGTTCCTCCATTATTTGCCCAATGAGATTTCCATCTCCTCCTTTCTCTAATAGCTCTGGCTTAGCTAGCTGACAAGTTTGATAGCTAGCTAACTTTGTAAAGGATTGGTTTCCATTCCATTTTAAGAAAACTAGCTAGTTAATTCGATACCGACAAAACAGGACTGGTTTAAGTTGGTTCGTTTGGGAATATGCCTAAGAATAAAGGTAAGCACCAAATACGTTGCCTTTGGTTGTTAAACCATTTCAGGGTTGAAGTTTATGCTAGCTAGCTAGCTTCCCGGCCCATGCTTAGCAACGTAACCGGAGGAAGACACCGTATGGCATTGAACAAGTCCTGAAAGCGTGGAAACGTTACCCTTAGTTACAACCATCGGCGTTGTTTATTTAATCGTAATTTGACTATAAAAAATTAAGGAATTCAAATGGCGATTATCCAGGTAACTGAACTGCCTTGCTTGCTTTTGTCACATTGTGGCGCCGCAGAATGACGTTACCATCAACTAGTGGTACTGGTAGGCCAACAATATCCCTGCCCAGCAGTTTCCATCATCTTGAGCCTCTGCCCTGATCGCTGTCACATTCACTAGCTGACTAGTTAGTTACCACATATAAAAGGGGTTAGTTAAAGAATCTTTGTTGCTAGGTTACAGGCATTTGGTTGGTTTATTTATCAGCGTTTATTTGGCTTATGATGCTAATGACAGGTGGAATTGGAATGACAGTTACCAGAATTGGAATGACACATGTTCACTATCTCTCATCTTCTCATTACAGGTAAGGGAGGAAAGAATCGGCGACGTGGTAAGAACGAGAATGAATCAGAAAAGAGAGAGCTGGTATTTAAAGAGGATGGCCAAGGTGAGTTCATCGTCCCCCTTCAACCTAATTTAACCTGTACATTTGGCAAACAGGTTTTGACTCACTGTCAATCTGGCCGGCTCAGTTTTAGTTTATGTCCCTATATAAAAATAGCAAAGTTGAAATTATTGAGTGACAGGTTGGCACGAAATCTTATCTCCACTGCGCTGTATCAGCACCATGGACATAACATGCCGCGCAGTGTGTAGGGCGGCTATGGAAAGTCACTGGGCGGTTAGGTATGACTCCTTTTGGGTTTCCATAAAAAGTGGGAAAAAATGCTTCTCATCTGTGGTAGGCTACGTGAATAACGTGGTAGGCTAAGTGAATAACAAGATACAGTTGAAGCTGCTCCACTCAACTCTGCCTCACGCCCCACCACTACAGAGTTTAGTTAGCTCTAACTAGCTAATCTGCCACTGCCGCAATGGATATCATAAATGAAACCACAGAGGCAGTTGTCAAGCCCAGCAGAAATTATGCTGCCGAACTCCCGCTAGCTTGCCCCCCTCCCACAATTGCCGCCAGGATAATGGCTCGAATCATACCCTAGCCGCAGGTTTTCTGTCCAAAAACGTTAATTTAATAGCAACTGGTTCATAGGAAGAGAGTGGCTGGAATACTCAGTCACTGCAGATGTGGCAGTTTCGTTCCCATGTCGAAAGTTCTGTATTGGGTCCAATGGTAACGCAGACAAACAAGGCCTTCACCCAAGGCGGGTATTCTAACTGGGAGCATGCTTTTAATAGAACCAAAGGAGTTGCTAGGCACACATCAAGCAAGGAGAATTTGAAATGCACTGCACTGTGGCAAGAAAAACAATTTGTATTTGGCTGCATTCACATAGGGTAATTCACCTATTACCATCAAAACTCTTGTTTTCTCACACAATTGCATAGCATAGCCTATAGAAAGGTTGTTCAACATGGGCTTATTGTAAGAACCCTTATTTAACTCCATGCATCAACCAGCTATGAGGAGCTGGCTCTCGCTGCGCAACAGGTGATCCTATTCCGCTCAAACTCTGAATGCCAGAGCTCTCATGAAGTGATTGATTAGATTTTTGATTGCATTTGCATTGATGTCGGAGTGATTTGAGGGACAATAGAGCGCTGAGTACCAGGCCACTAGCCGTTAGCAAGTTTGGTAGACTACTAATGACCATCAGCGGCATCAGAGCACAGTTTTGAAGAAGCCTAGTTCCCGTGACTCAACGGTCATGTGGAATTTGACTTCCGGTCATGACTGGCGGTAATACGGTCACCGTAACAGCCCTACTCCCTGTTTAACAGTTCAGCACTTACATTTGAGCCACCTCGTGACCCCCTCTATGAATTGACTAACTGGCTGAACTTCTGTTCTAATCTAGAATATGCACAGGTGATTAAGATGTTGGGTAATGGACGACTGGAAGCTATGTGTTTTGATGGAGTCAAGCGACTATGCCACATCCGAGGAAAGCTACGGAAAAAGGTAATGGTGTACACAGTAGCCTATATAGTGTTAGTGCCATTAGTCACAATATCCACCACGTGTTTTGGCAAATACAGTGAGGGGAAAAAAGTATTTGATCCCCTGCTGATTTTGTACGTTTGCCCACTGACAAAGAAATGATCAGTCTATAATTTTAATGGTAGGTTTATTTGAACAGTGAGAGACAGAATAACAACAAAAAAATCCAGAAAAACGCATGTCAAAAATGTTATAAATTGATTTGCATTTTAATGAGGGAAATAAGTATTTGACCCCTCTGCAAAACATGACTTAGTACTTGGTGGCAAAACCCTTGTTGGCAATCACAGAGGTCAGATGTTTCTTGTAGTTGGCCACCAGGTTTGCACACATCTCAGGAGGGATTTTGTCCCACTCCTCTTTGCAGATCTTCTCCAAGTGATTAAGGTTTCGAGGCTGACGTTTGGCAACTCGAACCTTCAGCTTTCTATGGGATTAAGGTCTGGAGACTGGCTAGGCCACTCCAGGACCTTAATGTGCTTCTTCTTGAGCCACTCCTTTGTTGCCTTGGCCGTGTGTTTTTGGTCATTGTCATGCTGGAATACCCATCCACGACCCATTTTCAATGCCCTGGCTGAGGGAAGGAGGTTCTCACCCAAGATTTGACGGTACATGGCCCCGTCCATCGTCCCTTTGATGCGGTGAAGTTGTCCTGTCCCCTTAGCAGAAAAACACCCCCAAAGCATAATGTTTCCACCTCCATGTTTGACGGTGGGGATGGTGTTCTTGGGGTCATAGGCAGCATTCCTCCTCCTCCAAACACGGCGAGTTGAGTTGATGCCAAAGAGCTCAATTTTGGTCTCATCTGACCACAACACTTTCACCCAGTTCTCCTCAGAATCATTCAGATGTTCATAGGCAAACTTCAGACGGGCATGTATATGTGCTTTCTTGAGCAGGGGGACCTTGCGGGCGCTGCAGGATTTCAGTCCTTCACGGCGTAGTGTGTTACCAATTGTTTTCTTGGTGACTATGGTACCAGCTGCCTTGAGATCATTGACAAGATCCTCCCGTGTAGTTCTGGGCTGATTCCTCACCATTCTCATGATCATTGCAACTCCACGAGGGAGATTGACAGTTATTTTGTGTTTCTTCCATTTGCGAATAATCGCACCAACTGTTGTCACCTTCTCACCAAGCTGCTTGGCGATGGTCTTATAGCTCATTCTAGCCTTGCGTAGGTCTACAGTCTTGTCCCTGACATCCTTGGAGAGCTCTTTGGTCTTGGCCATGGTGGAGGGTTTGGAATCTGATTGATTGATTGCTTCTGTGGACAGGTGTCTTTTATACAGGTAACAAGATGAGATCAGGAGCACTCCCTTTAAGAGTGTGCTCCTAATCTCAGCTTGTTACCTGTATAAAAGACACCTGGGAGCCAGAAATCTTTCTGATTGAGAGGGGGTCAAATACTTACTTCCCTCATTAAAATGCAATTCAATTTATAACATTTTTGACATGTGTTTTTCTGGATTTTGTTGTTGTTATTCTGTCTCTCACTGTTCAAATAAACCTACCATTAAAAGTATAGACTGATAATTTCTTTGTCAGTGGGCAAACGTACAAAATCAGCAGGGGATCAAATACTTTTTTCCCTCACTGTAGCTGGAGGCTGAAGACCATTGAGATCTTATGTGTACTGTATAAATGTAATCCAATGTCATCATCCTTTACACTCCACTTCCATCATGCTTTGGGTTTGACATGACATGAGGGTTGACAGACTTCTACCTGGGCAGTTTGTGTCTATGCTGGAAGTATTATAGTTTTTATACTCCAAGCTGTCCTTGCTGACATCTTGTTCTTTGCTCCTGGGCAGGTTTGGATCAATACTTCAGACATCATCCTTGTGGGACTTCGAGATTACCAGGTAAAAAAATATAATATTTTTTAATGATAATACAACCCAAGGCACTAGGAGGCCCTAAGATCGAAGAGTATGTCCTAATGGTTACATTCTTCCCTGAAGGACCAAAAAGCCGATGTTATCCTTAAGTACAATGCAGACGAGGCCAGGAGTTTGAAGGCCTATGGGGAGCTTCCTGAACATGGTATGTATCTTGGACCACTACAATTGACTGAGAGGGAGTCAGGGAGGTTAATAGCCTCTAACTTAACCTTCTTGAAATGTCATATTAGTCTTAAGGTAAGGCATCATTCGCCATGTGATGCTGAAGCCACAAAGCCAGGAATGGAGAATTGTCTTGCTTCAAATTATAGGCACATGTTCACTCTTTTTAAAGCAGGCTAGTTGATTAATTGTGGCCATCTTCTAACACCCTAGCTAAAATCAATGAGACTGACACATTTGGACCTGGCGATGATGAGGATATTCAGTTTGATGACATTGGAGACGACGACGAGGACATTGATGATGTAAGTAGAGGATTCCTCTTGCAAGTTACAAGGAATGCCATCCATAGGTAATAATTGGTGTGATGCAGTCAATCAATTGAAATCACATTCAATTGAGTGAAATGCTTTTTGCTCTGTCCATTTTGCTTGAATGCTTTGTCTTTGTGTCTGTCTGCTTTTGGGTCAGGTAATACCACTTGGTAACATAACTCTCTCCCCTTCCTCTCAGATCTGAATCAGAACTATTGTGGGCCACATCGTTTATGCAGAGGAAAGTGGACATTTCTATACTGGCAGAGGCAGTGCAACCTTGCCAACAACTCACTGCTTCCTCAAGTCAGTTGAGGCAGCTTATTTCCCTTCTCTTGAGACTGCTTAAAGCCTGGATTCTGTCACTGAGAACATCCGCACACCTACTTCAGTTCACACTGTATTATTTTATTCCATAAAGTGGAATATACTCTAAAATTACAGAACACCAGAGTTTACAATAAAAACTTCAATCATTTTATGTTTGGTCTGAAGATTTGTTTTGTCTATAACAAAGGATCCCTCCCCATTTTTTATTTTTTTACCAACTTTATTTGGATCAATAAAATAAGTAATTATATTTGTGATAATTTGTATATGCTTTTTTCAACAAACAGTGGCTGGCAACAGAAGTCTCACTTTGTAAAAATTGTGAAAGCAGGTAGAACTCATGTTCCTGACCTGTTGGTAAATATTTTAGCCTATACAGGATTTGCTCAACACGACCTAGTATGTAATACTACTTTGGTTCATACAGTATTTAACCTATTAATAACAATGAAGCATTAATGCCTAGGAAATGGCTACTTCGCCATGTTTCCAAATTAGGAGTGCTCAGGATGTGTGCTAGGCCCACAACATTATCACGGGTGAACTCAACTCAGGCAAAAATGATTGGGCTTCTTCGACGTTTCAGCCGACAGTGCAGTTGACTGCCAACTGATTAATATACAAAGAACCTTGCATCATAAATAACTACTCATTATTTGTGGCTCAGTCAATTTACCCATGATACATTACGGTTTTGATCCTCTCGAACACTGCCATTCTCTTCGCATTTGTTTTATTTGCTTTGGCTTTGTGGGACGCCTAGAATTTGGCTGGTTTTGCTATAAAGTCAGACTGACAGTAGGTAGGCCTACCTACCGCAAAGCGACCTCCGCAGAGGACCCAGTCTCGCTCGGATGCTGAGCACCACGTTATCCGCGCTTACATTTCATTTCTGGGCAGAGGGGTTGAAAGGCGCGTCTACTAAAAAGTTTGATGCTGTTTGTTCTGTTCTTCCCTTCTATTTGATATTCTTAATCGTGTTTTTATTAAAACATTTAGCAGCTATAGACCTATCTATTTGCAATAATATTGGGCTTTTTAGAGAAAGCTTTCTTAGTCTAACCCCACAAATGTAGCCGCATGGAAAATAAAACGCCCGAAATAACTGTCCAATATAGCCTATCCAATAAAATATACTGAAAAAATAAATAAACGCAACATGTAACCATTTCAGATTTTATTGTATTACAGTTCATATAAGGAAATCAGTCAATTGAAATAAATTCATTAGGCCCTAATCTACAGATTTCACATTACTAGGAATACAGATATGCAAGTAGGGGCGTGGATCAAAACTAGTCAGTATCTGGTGTGACCACCATTTGCCTCATGCTGCAGGACATCTCCTTCACATGGTTGATCAGGCTGTTGATTGTGGCCTGTGGAATGTTGTCCCACTCCTCTTCAATGGTTGCACGAAGTTGCTGGATATTGGTGGGAACTGGAACACGCTGTGGTACACGTCGATCCAGAGCATCCCAAACATGCTCAATGGGTGACGTCTGGTGAGTATGCAGGCCATGGAAAAACGGGGACATTTTCAGCTTCCAGGAATAGTGTACAGATCCTTGCAACATGGGGCCATGGATTATCAGAAATTAACATTAGGTGATGATGGCGGATGAATGGCAAGACAATGGGCCTCAGGATCTTGTCACAGTATCTCTGTGCATTCAAATTGCCATAGATAAAATGCAATTGTGTTCATTGTCCGTAACTTACTTATGCCTGCCCATATCATAACCCCACCTCCACCATGGGGCACTGTTCACAACGTTGACATCAGCAAACTGCTTGCCCACACGACGCCATGCATGTACGTGGTCTGCGGATGTGAGGCCGGTTGGACGTAATGCCAAATTCTGTAAAACAACTTTGGAGGTGGCTTATTGTAGAGAAATTAACATTCAATTCTCTGGCAACAGCTCTAGTGGACATTCCTGCAGTCAGCATGCCAATTGCACGCTCCCTCAACTTGAGACATCTGTGACATTGTTTTGTGTGACAACTGCACATTTTAGAGTGGCCTTTTATTATACCCAGCACAAGGTGCACCTGTGTAATGATCATTATGTTTAATCAGCTTCTTGATATATCACACCTGTCAAGTGGATGGAATATCTTGGCAAAGGGGAAATACTAACAGATGTAAACAAATTTGTGCACAACATTTTAGAGAAATAAGCTTTTTGTGCATATGGAACATTTCTTGGATATTTTATTTCAGCTCATGAAACCAACACTTTACATGTTGCGTTTATATTTTTGTTCAGTATAGTTATTTAATGGCAACGTTTAAAGCTTTTGAATGCAATTGAATAATTAATTTTGACTTCATGCATTTGATTAGGCTAGTTTGTCCTTCCATCAATGATGTAATGATTTCCATCCAGTACGCCCTGAACTGGAGCGCATCATTTTCTCTCCGTCCTTCAACAGTTATCCAAGGATACCCAGTTACGATCACCGTTCCCTTCAAAATAGCCCACTTAATAGTAGCCTATTGTCTCATTCAGTAACCGCATTCATCCGAATACCCTTCTGCTCTCCTGACCGCCTGTGCACCGTTAGCATTCCGGGGGAGCATACATATTGATTGCTGAGGCAGTGGAAAACGGATAGGCTTACATCCCCTGATAGCGTAGCCTATGTTATCCTCCTGCGCCTGAAGGTAGAAGCTGGCGATGCTGTTTCCCTCGACTTGATTTGAAGCCTTTCGCAGTGGGGTGTTTGCGACATTGCATACATACGTTTGGGGGCATCCGCCGGTGACTACGAAGATGGCAGAGAAGGCAGTCAATGCAGCGTCCAGTGGTGCCTTGACAGGTAAGCAGGGTAAAAAACTAACGGTCTATTGTTTATAATATCCAATGTTTCTCTACTGTATTTTTTTGCTACGACAATCCTGCATCGTCAAATTGTGCATTTCACTTCATCATCTAGCATACGCTATAGCCAAGCCTAGCAGAGGCAATTTTTATCATTGGCTTTTATGGCCAGTTGTCTAAATAAAAAGATGAATAGCGTAGTTGTTAAATCATCAAGATGCAGAAGGACAACACGCACCTTTGTTAATTGCTAAATTGATTGGCTCAGGCACAGGCTACATTACGCGTATTTATATGGTTTGGTCTGTCTTAACCCGCATAGCCTAGATTTGGGTGTCCAAGGCTTGTTTTCTGTCGCTGGTACCAAAGTTATTATAGTAAACTAAAATGGAAACTAAAACGAAAACCAATCATGAAAACTATTTACTAAACTGAAATAAAATAATTAATAAACCCGTTAGAAAAACAAACTATACTGAAATTATTGTCTTTAACTCCAAAACTAACAAAAATAAAAACCATCATGAAAATGTTTTGGTTTTATTTTTATTTATTTTTTATTTGGGGGGAGGGGGGTTCAAGCTACTGAATCTGGCGGGTAAATGCAGCCAGGAGATGGCGATGTTTCAAAAAGGATTGGCTTGTGCGTCACTATCACTACTCTGTAACTGAACTGTAATTCATACTGTAATTTGGGGTATTATCAACAGTAAAATACTGTTAAACGTTTTACTGCAGCATACTGTAAATTATGGTTCATTTTGGGAAGTAATGGTGGACAGGGAAGTAATTGCTGTATTTCGAATGGTGCCGTTATTCCATCCCATTGAATACAGTAGAATACCTTATTCTTGGAGTGCCGAAAACCTTTACATTTTTAAACCATACCAATTTAACTGGTATGTGGTAGTGGTGCCCCAACCATTTAAAATGTATAGGGGACAGATTGGAGTGGTACCAAGTCTTAAACCTTTAATGGTTGAGCATTTTGCCATTCCGGTGCTGCCAGTTTGGAAGCCTTTGTTAAGACCTCTAGAAGTGTACGTGATATAAAACACAAAATATTCATTGATATGTTGTAATGTGTAAACACATTACCTATAGCAGCCAACCTGCCTGCACCAATCCCATGTAAAATACTGTGAAATACAAACCCCATCTCCCCTCAATGAATGTTATTAATTCATCCATTCATTTATGCATTCATTATGATTACAGTAACATTTACTTTTTTTACAGTAAATTGTCTAGGTAGCTAATTTGATTCTTCTTACATGTACTACTAAAGTTAAAAAGCAATGGATTTGTGTTAACATGGATGAGAGTTTCCCCCATATTTGTTGCACCTGTCTCGACGCTATTCCTTTTAAATCCAAGTCACATTGAGAATAACTTTATAGTTTAAACCTAACCTATGACCTGACCCATCACCTTATTTATTGCTGAAGTATTACTGCCCCACAGTTGCAAGAAGTGACATCCCAAAAAACTATACAACACAAATGCTTTCTGTCTCTAGCACTAAAACTGAAGCTAAATCATATAAAACGAAATATAAATACTTGGATCAAACTAAAACAAATAAAAACGAGCAAATCAGGTCTGAAACTAAACTGAAAAATTAAACTAAAAAATTGAAAAACGAATAGAAATAAAAACGAATATAAAAACACAAAACTATAATAACCTTGGTTGGTACAGGTGTGATCAGAAAGGTGTAATTTGTACTCAAAAATCCGTATATAGCCTTGAATTTAGGGGTGATCAAAGGCAAATAGCTGCATCTGGGTTTTGAGGCCTTATCGTTATGGAGTGGACACATATTTAAAGAATGACATTAAACATGGATTCTCACCAGCACACAAGGTCACCGACCTTTCATCAATGGTTAAAGACATGTGACATGGCCATTGAAAAGGTGTTAGTAACCTACCTATACGCCCGGTCCTGGCAGACCCAGATTAAGTCCATAGCCTACTCTAAAACCAGGAAATGGAGAGTCCCAATCAAAAGTGCTTTTTAATGAATAGGCTTACTCTGGGTCTGGGAAAGGACCCCTCACTTCGTAGGCTAGTTCCTAGTTCCTAGTTTCCCAAGAATAAGTTACATTAACATATGCAGTGTATAACCCAATGTTGTGATATGATGGGTCTCTCCTTGACTGGGAGCTGTATTAGATTTTGGTGAGTGATGCAGAAGTAACAGGGCCAGATTATGGCTGCTGTTTTAAATCTAGTCCAGAATAAGTCAATGGCCTGGCTTCCATCTATCCTGGACTTATTTACCTTTCTTCTATTTATTTTCTTCTTCATGTGTTTGCTTCTTTCTCCCGCCTAAGGATTGACTCAGCCATCAGTTGCAGAGAAGAGATCCCAAAGCAACGGCCATGGCTCCCCAGCCCGTGTGGTACTTTATCCAGGGAGCCCAGCTGCGAAACACAGTAAGATGCTCCAACTGATGGCTCACCCACACTCTTAACGTTTTAACAGGATTTTATTGGGCGCTTATCTGAATTGGAAAGGTACTTCACATAATTACTTTCCATAATTACAACAATCACAATCTACCATGGCGGAATTGGGTTGAGTTGAATGATTTGATACTTATATGTCAAGGGGAGTCATTATTGAGTCATTTTTATGATTTGAAGGATTACTATAAGACACTATTTTCCAAGAAGATGGGTTTCAAGATTCATACAGGGACCACAACGAAAGCACAATTAGATGTTTTTTTAAAAGAAACTGGCCTAAAATAATATTTTAGAGAGCCATTTCTGGCAAAGGCAAGATCTTTTTGCTTTAGTAATTATCATACTAAGAACAACTGATTCAATTTTAAATAGATATTTAGCCTTGGCACCTTAAAACATAGCATATCCGCATACACTGCTGCAGTCCGTCCTTGGATTGCTTGCCAACTTGGCAGCAGTGCATACAACCTTTTACATTATCTACTGCCCTGGCTGCGACCATTTTACCCTCTAAATATTACTCTCACTGAACAAAGAGCATGGCACTGTCTCCCTCTTCAGTCTCAAAGTAATACTGCAGTTCAGTGCTATGTACAGCACTGCCTTCCTCTGCTGACAAACTGTGGGGACTGTTGTATCTCCTATATCAGATGAGGTGCTGAGCCCACCCTCGGTCACAGAGAAGAGGCCCCAGCTCAATGGGCTCCCCTCCCCTTTACTTCTGCCAGGCAACAACACTAACAATCATGCAGGTAAACAGTGTAAGTTCCACCCCCACTGTGGTTGTTAGCTCCCCTACACATCCCTCCCTCACTGGGTCCTCTCTATAAACACATCCCTCCCTCACTGGGTCCTCTCTATAAACACATCCCTCCCTCACTGGGTCCTCTCTATAAACACATCCTCCCTCACTGGGTCCTCTCTATAAACCAACCTCTACCTTCACGGGTCCTCTCTATAAACACATCCCTCCCCCACTGGGTCCTCTCTATAAACACATCCCTCCCTCACTTGGGTCCTCTCTATAAACACAATCCCTCCCTCACTGGGGTTCCTCTCTATAAACACACCTTTCCCTCACTGGTTCCTCTCTATAAACAATCCCTCCTCACTGGGTCTTCTCTATAAACACATCTTCCCCACTGGGTCCCTCTCTATAAACACATCTCTCCTCACTGGGTCCTCTCTATAAACACATCCCTCCCTCACTGGGTCCTCTCTATAAACACATCCCTCCCTCACGGGTCCTCTCTATAAACACATCCCCTCCCTCACTGGGTCCTCTCTATAAACACATCCCTCCCTCACTGGGTCCTCTCTATAAACACATCCCTCCCTCACTGGGTCCTCTCTATAAACACATCCCTCCCTCACTGGGTCCTCTCTATAAACACATCCCTCCCTCACTGGGTCCTCTCTATAAACACATCCCTCCCTCACTGGGTCCTCTCTATAAACACATCCCTCCCTCACTGGGTCCTCTTTATAAACACATCCCTCCCTCACTGGGTCCTCTCTATAAACACATCTCTCCCTCACTGGGTCCTCTCTATAAACACATCTCTCCCTCACTGGGTCCTCTCTATAAACACATCTCTCCCTCACTGGGTCCTCTCTATAAACACATCCCTCCCTCACTGGGTCCTCTCTATAAACACATCCCTCCCTCACTGGGTCCTCTCTATAAACACATCTCTCCCTCACTGGGTCCTCTCTATAAACACATCCCTCCCTCACTGGGTCCTCTCTATAAACACATCTCTCCCTCACTGGGTCCTCTCTATAAACACATCCCTCCCTCACTGGGTCCTCTCTATAAACACATCTCTCCCTCACTGGGTCCTCTCTATAAACACATCTCTCCCTCACTATCTCTCCTTGCTCTGTTTCTGTCTAGCTTGTCTGTTTCTGTGTTGATCCCTTTTTCTTCATATCCCTCAGATGTGGAAGGGTATCTGAGGACAGACGACAGGATGCGTTTAGCCAAAGAGAGACGTGAGGAGAGAGATAAAGGTCTAGGTAAGTGATGTTCCTGACATTTGCTTTCAAGTATTGAGACTGATGGAAATCATTTCTTATTGAAGCCAGTATTTGTATTGTAGCAGGTTAGCAAAATTGCTCTATACTTTTGCCATATAGAACCGGCAGCCAGTAAATGTGCAGTTCAAGGAAGCAAAGCTCTGGAATTGTTGTGGGTTGTTATAATGGTATTGAAGAGGGTAGTAATCTGAGTGTGTTGGTTGGTGTTTCCAGCGGTGCGAGAGCAGGCGATCAGGGAGAAGGAGCGGCGGGCTCTGCTGCAGTATGAGCGTACGGTGGAGGAGCGCTGGAGGAAGCTGGAGGAGCAGAGACAGAAAGAGGAGCTCCGCAGAGCTGCTGTGGAGGAAAAGAGGAGGCAGAGGCTGGAGGAGGAGAAGGTCAGACTTACCACTAAGCCACTACATCAGGGATCATCATTTGCAGAGTTGCAAAGAAAAAGCCATATCTCCGACTGCCCATCTTAATCTTTTCTTTTTATTAGCCAGTCTGAGATATGGCTTTTTCTTTGCAACTCTGCCTAGAAGGTCAGCATCCCGAAGTCGCCTCTTCACTGTTGACGTTGAGACTGGTGTTTTGCGGGTACTATTTAATGAAGCTGCCAGTTGAGGACCTGTGAGGTGTCTGTTTCTCAAACTAGACACTCTAATGTATTTGTCCTCTTGCTCAGTTGTGCACCGGTGCCTCCCACCCCTCTTTCTATTCTGGTTAGAGCCAGTTTGCGCTGTTCTGGGAAGGGAGTAGTACACAGCGTTGTACGAGATCTTCAGTTTCTTGGCAATTTCTCGCATGGAATAGCCTTAATTTCTCAGAACAAGAATAGACTGATTTCAGAAGAAAGTTATTTGTTTCTGGCCATTTTAAGCCTGTAATTGAACCCACAATTGCTGATGCTCCAGATACTCAACTAGTCTCAAGAAGGCCAGTTTTATTGCTTCTTTAATCAGCAAAACAGTTTTCAGCTGTGCTAACATAATTGCAAAAGGGTTTTCTAATGATCAATTAGCCTTTTAAAATGATAAACTTGGATTAGCAAACACAACTTGCCATTGGAACACAGGACTGATGGTTGCTGATAATGGGCCTCTGTATGCCTATGTAGATATTCCATTAAAAATCAGCCGTTTCTAGCTACAATAGCCATTTATAACATTAACAATGTCTACACTGTATTTCTGATCAATTTGATGTAATTTTAATGGACAAAACAATTGCTTTTCTTTCAAAAAAATGGAAATTTCTAAGTGACCCCAAACTTTTGAACGTTAGTGTGTGTATATATATATATTTTATTTCCTCAGAAAACTTGGGGGGCCAAATAAGACCACCCGTGGGCCAAATTCGGCCCGCGGGCCGCCAGTTGGGGAACCCTGCACTACATCTTCCAGTGCATGATGTAGTCACCCTCTGTCCTCACACTCAGACAGCTCTTTCACCTCCAGTTCAGTTTCAGTAAAAAGTTTGTATGTTTATTGTATCGTTTGGATGCACCGTTTTTGATTGTATGTGAATGTATGTGTGGGAAAGTACAGCAACAGTCACAACAGCCCCTTCTAAAAGATAAGCAGGGACATATGCTCTTTAATTTACTCAAATCCTGTGGTTAATTAATTACAGTATGCCCCATACTTAACGTTGTCTCCCAATCAGATATTATATAGGATTTTCACCCCCACCCTCCCCTTCTAGAGAAGTCCTTCCCACCCTGCACACCAGTCAACACTGGCTTCTGGGAATGCTGGTGTCATTGGTGTTGATCTATATGTAAATCTCAGGGACCTCAGACTAATCAATGAATATCTCTGCCATTCCATTTGTTTAATCTGATCCTTATCCTGCTTTGTCATTGCCCTCCATTTCTCGATGGGTCCCAAAATATCTGCTCAGCACAAAGTTATCCACAGATCTGTCTTTTTAAACCATGTCACACACTGCCACTTTCTAAGGCCATTTATTGTCATAGAGGGGTAGCTAACATTGATCTCACCGTTTAATCTTTAAAGAGAGACTTAAGTTGGTCTAAAAAGGTGACGTGAAATAACATGATTTATAATTTTTTGTGTGCTCTCATAAGATTATGCATAATGAGAATTTTTGGATGACACAGCATTTGCCTTGGCCATCAATCTCAACCAGATTGATTATCTATGCGCGTGTGTGTTCCCATTAGATGGATTATATCCTCTGGATGATGTCATTTTAGATCAGTAGAAATGCAGGAGGAGCCTATGGCATGTGGCTAATGTCATATTAGCTTTTCTGTGGTACTCATTTAAGATTTGTTTTCACTTCTTCACCCGTTCTTGGTTCTGTGCAGTGTCATTCTGATTAATACATTTGTTACTGTGCTGGCTTCATCTGTGTGTGTAGTTCCATTTGCCGATACATGTCCATGTCTGTGTTTGATAGGAAGAAATGAACATGGAAAAAAAGGAAAGGGGGATACCTAGTCAGTTGTACAACTGAATGCATTCAACCAAAATCTGTCTTCCGCATTTAACCCAACCCCTCTGAATCAGAGAGTTGCCGGGGGGCTGCCCTAATCGACATCCACGTCATCGGCGGGTTAACTGCCTTGCTCAGGGGCAGAACAACAGATTTTTACCTTGTTAGCTCGGTAGAGCAGGGATATAGATGGGAGGAAAAGATGGAGCACATTTAAATGGAGAGATGTTGGCAATGGTTGATCACCCACTAGATGGCTTTGTCTCCTGCTCTGTTGGGCTGTGAACCATGGCAACACTGTGGGTGGGGAAGGGTTAACTAGCTTGGAGGAAAGATTATTTACTGGGGGAAGTCTGAGTAGAACAGGCAGCCAGAAAAAGAAAAGGGGGAGGGGGAAAATCAGATAAAGAAAGGGGGAGCTGTTCTCCAACCTGTGTCAATACTGTTGCTTGCTACGAGAATGAATGTGTGAGAGTGTCTCTTTGTCTGCATGTGTGTGTGATTGGAGGGGTGGAGTCCCAAGCAGCTGTGGTCTTTATCAGCCTGCTCTGGTAAGACTGTGCTGTGTTAGAGTAGAGGTTGTGGTTATGGAGCGACTAGCCTGGTCCTTGTGGGGCCAGGGGAGCAGCTCCGTGACAGAGTCCCTTGTCTTCCCGGTCCTGGAACGGCACAACCAGGAGCGGCTGGAGGCTCTGATGAAACGCTCCCTGGAACGCAGCCTGCAGCTGGAGCAGAGGCCCAAACGCTGGACATGGGGCGGACCTGGAGGAGCACAGGGTGAGTCCACAACGGGGAGCTGGAGATGAGGGTGCAATGAGGTGTGAATGATGGAGTGACTGGAAGGAGGAATGGTGAGAGGCATGAATGGCGAGAGGGACAGCAATGCATGTTCTAGGCTAATTCAATTTGGCATGTCCCTTCTGGCTTCTAAAGTGATAGGATACAAATTTGGTGTTGCTCTCTGTCAGTTATACAATCACACAAGCGGTCCATCAGATATACTAACACATGATAGGTCTTTTTTTGGAAGCTGCTGCTAGCTGATTACTCCTCTACCCTTCTAATCTAGACTCAAGGTCAGACAGCAATGTCTCTGTGTCAGCCTATCCCAGACCTGTCGTGAACCATGGAAATAGTCATCAGTCCAGTCAACCCTGAGGGGAGCAAACCAGACAGTTTTAAAATTGACAACATACTGGTTGCTGCTTCAGGGCATTATTGATGGCTCCTATCCTGGGGCACTGGCAGTTTGGTGCGTTTGAAGGATTATGATGGAGGTGGGGGATGGAGGACTGAGATACAGAAACATGTTCAAAACCTAGATGCTGATTTTTATACAGTTTTCTGACTATGTTTATGGCTTATGTACTGTATGTGTGATTTGGATTGGGGCATAGAGGGATATATGGAAGACAAAGGTGCGTATGTGAGAGAGCCTTTCTCCCTGGCCTGCTCATTGCCTCCAGCCTTGCTGCATGGGTTTACCTCCCCAGTTGTCGTCAGGAGCGCCCTGCTGGCTGCAGAGGTGTATCAGGGGGTCATCAGGTAAAGCCATGAGTGGCAGCTCTGGTCATAACGCTGCGCTCTCTCTGCTCTGCTCTGCTCCGCCCGCTACCTATAGGTGACAGTGAGAATGCCCCTCTCCTTGCCTCCGCCTTTCCCCATGAACTCGCCGCCCCCCTTCCTGCTGCCAGCGAATCCGGTAATGTTATGAACCCCTCCCGTTCGGTCCACCAATCCCCTTCCCCCTCCTCCTTCTGTCCACCCCACAGTGACCACTGCTCTCATGGCAGTTTGGCTTGAGGGGAAATGTCATGCCAACTCAAAAAGTTTTATGTATATTTCCCAGAATGCATGTGCAACAGCTGAATCAGAAAAAAGTGTGCGAAAGCATGAGGATGTGTGTGAAAAGTCAATGTGTACCTCGTACAAGTACTACTGTACAAAGTGCACATTGATGTTGTATAATTGCTGCTTTTTATACATTTTTTTTTTTTTACATCTGTATGTGTACTGCATGTGTGAGGGTATGTGTGTGTGCTCAGCTTGGGTATTGTGATGTCTTTTTTGGTACTGGCAAGTCGATCCAGGTTCAAGCAAAAGAGCGAGCATTAGGATGACAATAGAGATGATTTTGGGATACAGAGTGAAGAAGATATCCATTAGGAAATGACAGGCACTAGGGAATTGACAGTACACAAAGAACCAAGTAACAGGGGACATGTACACCACTTCACCTTTTCATTGTTTGAAACCTCCTCTCCCTCCTTGTTGAAGGCATATTTCACTCAGTCACAACACACTGGTTAAGGTTTGACATTCTCAGTGCTTTTATGCATCTTACCGATCTCTATATCACCCATCCAAATACTCAGTGTTATTTTTTATTTCAGAGAGCCCGTCCCATCCCAATGAGTATATGGAAAACATAACCCAATAATAATGAAGTGATGAGCAGTATTTGCCATTCAACATGCACAGGAACAGGTAGTCCTCCAATTTGATAAAGTACTACTACTCCTTCTACTAGTATCACCACTAGTACTAATACTCCTTCTACTATCACCACTAGTACTACTACTCCCTCTACTAGTATCACCACTAGTACTAATACTCCTTCTACTAGTATCACCACTAGTACTAATACTCCTTCTACTAGTATCACCACTAGTACTACTACTCCTTCTACTAGTATCACCACTAGTACTACTACTCCTTCTACTAGTATCACCACTAGTACTACTACTCCTTCTACTAGTATCACCACTAGTACTACTACTCCTTCTACTAGTATCACCTAGTACTACTACTCCTTCTACTAGTATCACCACTAGTACTACTACTACTCCTATCACTGTTACTACTTCTACCCTAAACACTACGACTTCTTCATCTGCTGCTCACCACCACCACTGCTAATAGCTACCCTTGTTAGTGTCAAAATTGTCATTGTCATCACAAATGACAATCAGGCATTTTTGGCAGACCCATCCTACATCCTTTCCATTCTCCGGTTGTACTCACTAGTCTAGAACTAGCATTCTTAGCCCGCTCCTCCTCCCCTCCTTGTGATTCTTGCACCTTCATTTCTCCGTCTCATGTCCCTCATGGTCATACGTTGTGTTTTGTTTGTCATCCTCATCTCCCTCCCAACACCTCCATTGACCCCTGACCCCTCCATCAGCCCAGCGCTGTCACCTGATGGCCCACCGCCTCCTTACCCACACTCACTCCTCTATGGCCAGGTGCCACAGTGCAGCAGACCTCCATCTACCCTGCCACCGATGCACAGGTAACACCTAGACAATACATCTGGACTGACAATTTTTTTGCACATAGGCAGTAAATATTTACAGACTGGTAATACCCCATATAAATTGTGCACATTGGTGATGCAGAGACTAGGGAATGTATGACAGCGTTTGCAGTTCTGCAGATAGACACTTGTTTATCCACTTTATTTATGTCTAGGTCTGGCTTTTCTGAACGTGTGTGTCTGAGGGTGTAGATGTGTTCAAATGTGTGTGACTCCTGGTGGGACTGCTGTCTACAAGGTTTGTGTGTGTATGTTTTGGTGTGACAAGGAGAAGAAATACCTACATGCTAAGATTCTTGCAAAAGTGTTGCTTAGTTGGGCATGCCTTATATAATATGCAGTGATGTAATGGTAAAGAAATAGGCGGATAAACGCAGATCGCCGTCCGCAAGGAGTAAAGTAACGCTCCCTATACTTTCAATGCATTTATCCGGTGGGTAAATGCTTGAGTAAAATAAAAAAGGTAAATAAACGGCCTTTACGTGCGAGTACACGCCACTACACCACTGATAATATGGCAGAAGAAATGTTGCTTCAGCATAAACTTTTTGGCCATCCAAAGCGTGTGTGGATGTTTTTCTTTTCCACATGCTATTTTATTTAGTATTTACTTTGGGTAATTGTGCGCATGCCACACATCACTCTAACTTGCCACAGATAACCATGTGAAAAGACAAAATAGTTTGTATGATTGATTTAAACAATTGATAGTATTGTTAACGTCTTCCATAATATACTGTGGGTATTGATCTAAAAAGACGGAATTACCCCTTTGTATCTCCTTTGACTACAATACATTTTCACTTGATTATTATTTTGACCTCTGACCTCTGATGTATTTCGTTGTGCAGCTCCCTGCAGCCCCCACAGGGCACCCTATCGGGGCTCGCCAAGCCGGGCTGATCGACGGAGGCTCCAGGGCTCTGCAGAGGAGTCAGCAGGAGGGTCTCGCTCCACCCCTCAAACCCCCAAGGTCAGACTTGTCTTACCTACCCACTTGGTTATTGAATAGAGAGAAACCATTACAGAACCCTGCTAGCAGTTGGTAGAGACATGTTGGCATGATAACATACGGAAACACACACACATTATCTTGTGTGTGCTTTCAGAAAGAAAGGTTACGCAGAGAGAGGAGGACTGGCTCCCCAGCGACAGGCTCCCCTGTGAGAAGAGGAGAATCCCCAGCCATGTTCACCAGACGCTCAGCCTCCCCCGCCACCCCCAAGTAATACTCACTGTCCTGCTGCTGTATCCGTATGGTATGTCCTAGTTACTGTGACAGAGAATAATAATGTCCTCCTGGTTGTAGGTTGCTGCCTAAGAGCCGTACGCAGTCTCCCTGCACTGTGCGCCAGTACCACTCCTCTCCCATCAGGCACAGACCCACCACCCCGGTTACCGACGGCAACAAGAAGGAGTACGGACAAGTTGAAGAAGCCAAAGGTCACAACAACATCAATGACAGAAATGTATCCAAGCCAGAAACCCCTGTGAAAAGGATGTCTGATATCCAGAGCCCTGAGAAGTATTCTCAAGCAGACACCCCTGAAAAAAAACATGCCAACCCTGAGACCCCAGAAAAAAGATTCCCCAAAACTGAGACCCCCGGTAAGAACTTAAAAGGTGAGATTTCTGAAAGAAAGGACTCTATGACTGACACTTCTGATAAGAAAGCCTCCAAAATAGACACCCCAGACAAGAAGATGCCAAAGTCCACCAGCAGTGACCTGAATGCAGATAAGAGCACAGGTGAAACTCTTTACCAATCTCTTTGTGTATGTCAATATTTAAGTACATCGATCAGTGCATTATCAAAAGGGCACCAGTTTCAATGCACACTGATGTCTGCCTTTATCTTTGTGACAGAGCCATCGCCAGTGACACCAACAGGGAAAGGAGTTGTCGGGACGACAAATGCAGAGGAAGCATCCAGACTGCTAGCGGAGCGTAGGCGCCTGGCCAGGGTGCAGAAGGAGTTGGAGGAGAAACAACGTTGTGAGCAGGAGGAGGAGGAATGGTAAGGAGACTGTGTGGTGCCAGCGTAAATGTCACCATGTGTCTCTGTGCCTGTACATGATGCATAGATGGTGTGTCTGCGTGACTGTGACTGATAGCGTATACTGTAAGTCATCATGTTTGTCTGTGTCACTCAGTCTGAAGGTGGAGCAGCTGAGGAGGAGACAGGCAGAGGTGCGGGCACGGCAGGAGGAGGAGGCTCGGCGGGCTGAGGAGGAGAAGAGCAGACAGGAGGACCTTCGCAGGAGGAGAGAGGAAGTGGAGAAACAGCAGAGGGAGGTCCGGGAGAAGGGGCTACAGGTCCAGATGGACAGAGAGGTCAGGGGTCACAGTAGGGGGGGTCACTTTATGTATGGTGATGTATGTTTCTCCAGTGTACAGTGGCTTGCGAAAGTATTCACCCCCCCCCCCCCCCCCCCCCCCCCCCCCCCCCCCCCTTGGCATTTTTCCTATTTTGTTGCCTTACAACCTGGAATAAAAATTCATTTTTGGGGGGTTTGTATCATTTGACTTACACAACATGCCTACCACTTTGAAAATGCAAAATATTTTTTTGTGTGAAACAAACAAGAAATAAGACAAAAAAACTGAACTTGAGCGTGCATAACTATTCACCCTCCCAGAGTCAATACTTTGTAGAGCCACCTTTTGCAGCAATTACAGCTGCAAGTCTCTTTGGGTATGTCTCTATAAGCTTGGCACATCTAGCCACTGGGATTTTTGCCCATTCTTCAAGGCAAAACTGCTCCAGCTCCTTCAAGTCATACCACAGATTCTCAATTGGATTTAGGTCTGGGCTTTGACTAGGCCATTCCAAGACATTTAAATGTTTCCCCTTAAACCACTCGAGTGTTGCTTTAGCAGTATGCTTAGGGTCATTGTCCTGCTGGAAGGTGAACCTCCGTCCCAGTCTCAAATCTCTGGAAGACTGAAACAGGTTTCCCTCAAGAATTTCCCTGTATTTAGCGCCATCCATCATTCCTTCAATTCTGACCAGTTTCCCAGTCCCTGCTGATGAAAAACATCCCCACAGCATGATGCTGCCACCACCATGCTTCACTGTGGGGATGGTGTTCTCGGGGTGATGAGAGGTGTTGGGTTTGCGCCAGACATAGCGTTTTCCTTGATGGACAAAAAGCTCAATTTTAGTCTCATCTGACCAGAGTACCTTCTTCCATATGTTTGGGGAGTCTCCTACATGCCTTTTGTCGAACACCAAACGTGTTTGCTTATTTTTTTCTTTAAGCAATGGCTTTTTTCTGGCCACTCTTCTGTAAAGCCCAGCTCTGTGGAGTGTACAGCTTAAAGTGGTCTTATAGACAGATACTCCAATCTCCGCTGTGGAGTTTTGCAGCTCCTTCAGGGTTATCTTTGGTCTCTTTGTTGCCTCTCTGATTAATGCCCTCCTTGCCTGGTCCGTGAGTTTTGGTGGGCGGCCCTCTCTTGGCAGGTTTGTTGTGGTGCCATATCTTTTCAATCTTTTTTTTAAATCATGGATTTAATGGTGCTCCGTGGGATTTTCAAAGTTTCAGATATTTTTTTATAACCCAACCCTGATCTGTACTTCTCCACAACTTTGTCCCTGACCTGTTTGGAGAGCTCCTTGGTCTTCATGGTGCCGCTTGCTTGGTGGTGCCCCTTGCTTAGTGGTGTTGCAGACTCTGGGGCCTTTCAGAACAGGTGTGTGTGTTATATTATATATATATATATATTATATATATATATATATATATATATATGAGATCATGTGACACTTAGATTGCACACAGGTGGACTTTATTTAACTAATTATGTGACTTCTGAAGGTAATTGGTTGCACCAGATCTTATTTAGGGGCTTCATAGCAAAGGGGGTGAATACATATGCACGCACCACTTTTCCGTTATTTATTTTTTTGAATTTTTTGAAACAAGTTTTTTTTTTTTTTTCACTTCACCAATTTGGACTATTTTGTGTATGTCCATTACATGAAATCCAAATAAAAATCCATTTAAATTACAGGTTGTAATGCTACAAAATAGGAAAAACGCCAAGGGGGATGAATACCTTTGCTAGGCACTGTATGTGCATGTTTGTGTGTAACATTGTGTATATGCACAGTACATGTCTTACATTATTCCAAGCATCAATCCTGTATCTTTATCAATAAAGAAGGAGGAGGCCGAGTTTCAGGCTCAGAAGGATGCAGAGCGTCAGCGTCAGGAGCGAGAGATACTGAAGCTGCAAGAGGAGGAAGAAAGACAGCTGAGAAAGAAGGTTTTTATGACTCAGAATTCAATTATTATTATTGAATGAATCAGTATATCTGATACCCAGTCTGCAGCACTCAGTACATGTCAAAATCTGTATGTTGATGCATCTCCACAGAGAATTGAGGAGATAATGAAGAGAACCAGGAAGAGTGATGAGAACCAGGAAGAGATGAAGGTACTGTAGAGATGCCTGCCGTTCTCATAGCTCTGCACGGCTTCAAGCAAAGAGACCTGCTGACTCCTATATTACCCAAGTGATTTTGTGTGATCTTGTCAGGTATTGCATACCAATACAGGATGCGCTTTGAGGCTTGTATTTCTTTCCCCAAGAGCTTTTGTTTTTATATCTATGTTGTGATCATTATCATGATTAAATTGTATCATTGTTGATACATTGGTTTATGTGTCCTGATTACCACAGGTCTTAATCACACAATATTATATATAATTGTCCTCTAATTTGCTGTGGAATAATAAATGTTGCCTCCATCTGTGTTCCATATTGAAGCAGAAGGAGGGGGCAGGTGGAGACTCAACCTGTCTCACCACCAGGTAGGTGACCCATTCCATTCACCCACTGATACTCTGCCTGCCTTATCAACCCAGCAGGAAAGACACAATGAGTCGTGGTCAAAAGTTTTGAGAATGACAAGTATTGGTCTTCACAAAGTTTGCTGCTTCAGTGTTTTTAGATATTTTTGTCAGATGTTACTATGGTATACTGAATTATAATTACAAGCATTCCATAAGTGTCAAAGGCTTTTATTGACAATTACATTAAGTTTATGCAAAGAGTCAATATTTACAGTGTTGACCCTTCTTTTTCAAGACCTCTGCAATCTGCCCCGGCATGCTGTCTATTAACTTCTGGGCCACATCCTGACTGATGGCAGCCCATTCTTGCATAATCAATGCTTGGAGTTTGTCAGAATTTGTGTGTTTTTGTTTGTCCACCCGCCTCTTGAGGATTGACCACAAGTTCTCAATGGGATTAAGGTCTGGGGAGTTTCCTGGCCATGGACCCAAAATGTTTTGTTCCCAGAGCCACTTAGTTATCACTTTTGCCTTATGGCAAGGTGCTCCATCATGCTGGAAAAGGCATTGTTTGTCACCAAACTGTTCTTGAATGGTTGGGAGAAGTTGCTCTCGGAGGATGTTGGTACCATTCTTTATTCATGGCTGTGTTCTTAGGCAAAATTGTGAGGGAGCCCACTTCCTTGGCTGAGAAGCAACTCCACACATGAATGGTCTCAGGATGCTTTACTGCATGACACAGGACTGATGGTAGCGCTCACCTTATCTTCTCCGGACAAGCTTTTTTCCGGATGCCCCAAACAATCGGAAAGGGGATTCATCAGAGAAAATGACTTTACCCCAGTCCTCAGCAGTCCAATCCCTGTATCTTTTGCAGAATATCAGACTGTCCCTGATGTTTTTCTTGGAGAGAAGTGGCTTCTTGCTGCCCTTCTTGACACCAGGCCATCCTCCAAAAGTATTCGCCTCACTGTGCGTGCAGATGCACGCACACCTGCCTGCTGCCATTCCTGAGCAAGCTCTGCACTGGTGGTGCCCCGATCCCGCAGCTGAATCAACTTTAGGAGACGGTCCTGGCGCTTGCTGGACATTCTTGGGTGCCCTGACGCCTTCTTCACAACAATTGAACCTCTCTCCTTGAAGTTCTTGATGATCCGATAAATGGTTGATTTAGGTGCAATCTTACTAGCAGCAATATCCTTGCCTGTGAAGCCCTTTTTGTGCAAAGCAATGATGACGGCACGTGTTTCCTTGCAGGTAACCATGGTTAACAGAGGAAGAACAATGATTTCAAGCACCACCTTCCTTTTAAAGCTTCCAGTCTGTTATTCTAACTCAATCAGCATGACAGAGTGATCTCCAGCCTTGTCCTCGTCAACACTCTCACCTGTGTTAACGAGAGAATCACTGACATGATGGCAGCTGGTCCTTTTGTGGCAGGGCTGAAATGCAGTGGAAATGTTTTGGGGGGATTAAGTTCATTTTCATTGCAAATAGGGACTTTGCAATTAATTGCAATTCATCTGATCACTATTCTTAAGTGAGTATATGCAAATTGCCATCATAAAAACTGAGGCAGAAGACTTTGTGAAAATTACTATTTGTGTCATTCTCAACTTTTGACCACGACTGAATAAATGCTTACTAAAGCATGTTGCGTAAGAGTCCCACCCAGTGGCAGCAGTGGGTAGTCTGGTGGGTGAGAGACCCCAGTACTTTTCCATCAATATAGGAGACTCCTGCATGGCTGTGATGTAGCAGTGTTTTTCCAATACCTGTCCTCAGGAGACGATCAGATTCACTCTGCATCCTAGATTGTGTTAAAGGCCATCCATTCAAGGTCTTTGGCTATTTATAACTAATCTGCCCCGCCACAATGCAGCCCTCAGCATGTAACTTAATCCTTATTATTTTTCACTAGAAAGGTTGAAAATATTTAGACAATTTAATGCAATTAAAGAGAAGGACCTCTTTCTTTATTTTGTTAGCTGATGTAGAACAGAGGACATTAGCAAATCTGCCTGTCTACTTGATATTGGAAACACCTCTGGCTCACAAAGGTAGCTCATGAAATGTTGCCAAAGTGGTGCATGTAGGTTAGAGAACAGGGCCATGGACTTAACTAATGTGACATATAGGTTAGAGAACAGGGCCATGGACTTAACTAATGTGACATATAGGTTAGAGAACAGGGCCATGGACTTAACTAATGTGACTTATAGGTTAGAGAACAGGGCCATGGACTTAACTAATGTGACATATAGGTTAGAGAACAGGGCCATGGACTTAACTAATGTGACATATAGGATAGAGAACAGGGCCATGGACTTAACTAATGTGACATATAGGATAGAGAACAGGGCCATGGACTTAACTAATGTGACATATAGGTTAGAGAACAGGGCCATGGACTTAACTAATGTGACATATAGGTTAGAGAACAGGGCCATGGACTTAACTAATGTGACATATAGGTTAGAGAACAGGGCCATGGACTTAACTAATGTGACATATAGGATAGAGAACAGGGCCATGGACTTAACTAATGTGACATATAGGTTAGAGAACAGGGCCATGGACTTAACTAATGTGACATATAGGTTAGAGAACAGGGCCATGGACTTAACTAATGTGACATATAGGTTAGAGAACAGGGCCATGGACTTAACTAATGTGACAATGCTTTTGTCGCAGTAAGATGGGTCGCTTAAATATTCTGACATGATTTTAGAGGAGGCATGGGATTTGTGTATAATTAGCATCTCTTTAAGCCGTCCTTGGCCAGGTCATGTGGTGCTCTTTCTCAGGGAATAGTCCTGTGCAATGTGATATTTTTGTTCTCTACAGGGGAAATGCAGATGAACTCAAAGATGAACATTGAAACTAATGCTCAGGTGAATGTGCATGAAAACCCAAAGGTTAAGTCTCAGGTTAATGGGCAGGTCGCTGCCTGTGTCAACAAGCAGGACAGTGCCCTGCTGAAGGGACAAGCCACTGATCAGGTGACCCCACTGAAGAATGTTCTGGAAAAGGGACAGGACTCTAAACAAGTAAATGGACAGGGTGCAGCCCAGGCGCTCAACCAAGAGAGTGTCTTTGTGAAGGGAAAGGTCACTTCCCACGTGACCAAGCAGGAGAGTGCACAAGTGAATGCAAAGACCACTGACCAAATTAATCAGCTGAAGAACACAAAGAGACCGGATGTTCCCCAAGTGAATGTACAGGTGAAGAAACAGGAAGGTACCCAGGTGAGCAGCCAAGCCACTACTCAGCTCAAAACCCAGGAGAGTACTCAAGTAAACGTGAAGTTGATCAGACAAGGGGTGCAGCCCAACAATCTGTCCCTGGCACCCCTACCAGTGGGCCACCTCCCACCTCCACTCATCAACCTGGAGCTTCTGGATGTGAAGAGCAACGGGGCGTGTGATGAGGTGCAGTCCATGGAGGTCAGGTAAGCCATCAGAGCAAGGCCATGTCTATCTACAGGAACGCATGATGTGTAATGGATCGAACCAATAAATGCAAGAGATACTGGTTAATATGAACATTTGCATACACATTGCCCACCATGCCAGCAGCCTAGCAATAGATGCGATGAAGAGGTCAATGGAAAGCAGACCGTGGGTGATAGGACACCGGATTGACACACATTCAACAAAACTGATCTAACAAAGTGGATATTCGTAAAATCTGTCATGATTGATGTATTGTAACAGGCCCACAATGTGGTTACTAAAGTCAAATGTGGATATACTTTTGTTTTTGCTGCATAACATTTATAAGTTGTCCCTTTTCAGGTTTAGAAGAAGTGACTGCTAATTGAAAACTCCTGTTTGAATAAGCTGGTAGCATAGCTAGCATACAGAAATCAATGGTGGTAGTCTGTCGTTTTTAACTGTAATGCAGTTTATTGGTGACGATGACATGAACATGTATTGGGGTTGACATCCGTACAAGTATTATGCTCCAATTTTTACCTCAACATATTGTGAAATACACATATAAATAATAGCTGGGGGGCAATGAGGAGGTTTGGGATCTTTCCCCCACGGCATCTTTCCCCCATCTTTTCCTTGGCATTTCCATTGTTTTGGTCTCGTTCCATTGACCTGTTTACCGCACCTATGTTTTTTACTCGTAGAGTATTAAGGATATTGTATAATCAGAATTCCTATTTGGACTCTTAGCTTTACCACAGCCTTTTCTCATTCCCTGAGGAATATTGTTAATGAAAATGGCTTCGCATTTAACAATTTGCATAATATATTATTCACCTAATCCGCCCTTGATTACCCAAGGATAGCATGCCCCATAGATGTACAGACATGGTCATAGTAGTATTTGATCGATGGAATAACCATTATGATTTTCACAGATGTTGCTCCCTCTCTCTTCCCCTCTCAGCCCAGTTTCCAAGGAGGAACTTATCTCCATCCCAGAGTTCTCCCCAGTCAATGAGGTCCAGCACAACGGCATGAGTAATGCCCGAGCCCTGGAGGATCTGCTGGACCTGACGGGCCATGTGGCCTACCCCAAACTCTCCCCCATGGGCAGCCTAGGAGACTGCAACAAGAACCTGATTGAGGGGCTCTGCAGTCCCGGCGCCGATTCCAAGCTCATCCTCCACCCTCAAACAAGCTCAACATCCAGTAGTCAGGTACATAAAAATGCATCTGAGAATGAGAATAATATCTTACACTCACATGCAAAAACGATGAGCCTGTTCACACATGCATGCTTACACATGTTAAAATACACACACGTTCAAGTTGCCACAATACCTCTCTCACCCTATCATCTCAAACACTCACACTACCCACTGGGCACACCACATCATTTCAACGTGGATAGTTGGTCATATTTGGTTGAGACGTTGATCAATGAGATTACAACCTATATTCACCCACTCAAAAAGACAGCCAAAAGTTAGTTGAATTTCCAATGTGTTATCACTATGCTTTCAACCATCTAAAAGCACAGGAAAGTACAAATGGGAATACAATGTCAGATATTTTGTTTATTTATGCAACAGATTAATGTGTTATCACTGTGCTTCATCTAATAGCAGAACCAAATGACCTGGATTGCAGTTGAGATTACATTAAAAGTACATGGTACAAGTGATCAATGCCATTTGAGATTCTGCGCAGATTGTTACAGCAGTTATGAAGATCTCTACGGACCTGTGATGACCTATGCATGCTATATTGAACATGCACGCTTTATATGATTACATAAGAATACATGTATAGTTACAGTAAACTCAATGTGGCCATGGATGTGTTACTCGTTTAAAGGTTGAATTTTACATTAGTTTGTGAGAGAGCCTTAACTCTAGGCTATTTACTGTATTATAAAAGTAATAGTGAATTGTGTTTGCTTGACAATGCAACCAAATATCAACATTCAAAGGAGATGTATCTATGGATAGTTCTGAGCCACTGGCTTAATCCCATTCTTTTTATTTTTGGTTGAGTTAGAGACGTGAATCCAACATAGCATTTTTTTTACTTGTAGACAAGTTAATAGGCTATTTATTGTATTTCAAAAGTGATATTGAATTGTTTGGTTGTCAATGCAACCAAATATCAACATTTGAAGGAGATGTATCTTCTGCTTGGATACTTCCATCTGTGCTACTGACTTAGTCTTGCTTTAATTCCAATTTGTCTACAAATTATAGAAAAAAAACATTCTTTAACTTTGATTTTTGGTTTTGATGGAGACAAAATTGAAATAAAGCCAGACTAAGTCAGTGGCTGATGGAACTGTCCAAGCAGAAGATAGATCTCCTTAAAAGTTTATATTTGGTTGTGTTGTCAACCAAACACAATTCAATATCACTAAATATCATTACATTTTAAATCAACTAGAGCTTGAAACCCTAGGCCAATTGTATTGTCTATTTTTAGTTGAATTCTGGGTTGAATTGAAACAATAGCTTTTGATGACTTTGTAAATGCTATATAGGCCCTGGATGGGAGACCAAAGGGTTGCTGTAGATGGATCAATTCTCCAGTAGGAGGTGCTGCCCAGCCTATAGTTTATTTTCTGATAGTGGCTATAACGTTGAAGATCTGACATTGTTTTTAAGGTACAAATTCAACATTTTATACATGGTTTGTCTACATTGAAATTTGGTTACCATGATGACGTAATCCTGCGGTTGACATTTCACCCTCAAAACAACAGTTGAGGACTTTTTTCAAATCCAATGTATTTTCCACATAGAGTCCGAGTCACAATACGTTGACAAATTACGTTGAAACAACGTTTATTCAACCAGTTTGTGCACAGTGGGTAGCTTCTCTCAAACACACAGAATCTTATGATTACTTTTTTATTTTCAGAACCCTGGAATGGCAAGCCATGATGGAAGGAGCAGAGGGAAATCATCTGCGTTGTCTGATGTTATTGAGGATGGAAGTCTCTGCACCTCTTGAGATGAGAGAGAAATCACTCTGAATGTAGTTTTGATCCTCCTTGTTGGTCTCCAACCTTGAATGTCCATTAACCTTCAACCTCCTCCTACAATACATCTGGCCACATAGCCTTGGACAATGGAACTTAAGTGACAATAACATTAATAGAATTACTATACTTGTCAAATAATACCATGACGATAGTCATAGATATCGGTGTCATGCCATGTATTGCATATAGCAGTTGTTAGTGTGGTGTCTGAAACGTGGGTGGATGTGTGTATGTCTCAATGAAAGAAAGTGCCCATGAAGCAATTTACTCTTGACTACCTGTTATGATCTAAAGCAGTTAGCTAAGCTAGTTAAATCTCATTTGAAAACAAAAGCATTTATTCTGTAGTTGGGTAGAAGCACAGACTGGTGATAACCTCTCCTCTCCTTAAATATTTATTTTATCGTGAAAGACCCGGCATATACAGATGTAGAATATCATTTCAGTAAGTTGCCTTTGCTATTGCCGTGTTGTTCCTCTAATGATTGAAAGTTTCATATTGCTCTGAATCCACCTAATGTAGTTTAGTATGCACTGATCATTCAATTAGATTGTTCCACTGAAAAGTCTACAGTTTTCAATTCTGGCTGTGGATGCCTTAGGCTAGCTCGTATCTCCCTGGACATGATTAACTCCCAAGAGACTCAAGCTTGTCACAATGTATGTATCCAACCTGCTGTGTGATTGGGATTGTAGCATGTGTGCCATAATACTTCAACCCAGCTCAAATAGTACTGCAACTCAAAAGTCAACATAAAGAATCTGTACAATAACATTCCTCATTATAATCCAGATTGCCACCAACCCATGCATTGCAGGTTTTGTGGTATCTTTTCTTCCTTGATCTACAAAGTACTGAGCTGTGCCTGAGCACTCAAAAGTCTGAACCCTCTGAGCTGGTATAATTTGTATGTTAGATTGGTGACATAGGACAAAACCTATGATGTGTTGTCCAAATTAAGTTATTACGGTGTGTATATGCACAGATGTGAGTGGTCAGTCACTGGATCCACTTGGACTGTATTGTATTTTGATAAATAATGCACCAAAAGGAGGCAAGATTTTTACCTGAAGACTAAGCAACCAGGGATTTAGAAAATCAGGTTTATAGAGAACACATTTTAACAGTTCAAACCTACTGTGGAGTTTCTGTTGTATTTCTAACTAAAGCAGCATTGCAGTTAATTAAAAAATGTAACTATTGTAGACATTATGCATGGGTCATTAGCATGAGCATAAGATGATAAATACCAGTACTATTAATAAACCTTCAAACAATAATGTATGGTGTGTTTTGTATATTGTTGTATCTGAAGGCCCCAATGACACTTAATTATTTAGTGTCTAAGACTGGGGGGAGGGGGTTATTTAGCTATTTGATTTAGAATTTAGGTATCAAAAACATAACAATGATTTGATAAAATATTGATTTTGGCCTTTACTACTTAAGCCCATAGAAACGCATTGAATAACACATTCATAAATGGCAAAAAGGGCAGTCAAAAAATAAATCATAAACATGGTTTTGAAGTGTCTGTCCTCAATCTAGGAGAAAAAAAATTTAAACTGGAAATATATATTTATTTTTTGACACACATTTAACCCCTTTTTCTGGGTAGGCACAAAACTACCCTCATACTGCCATTCGTTGGTTACCTTCAGACGGGTCCCGTGAACGAAATGGAGAAGACCATCACGTTCGTGAGAACTCCCTGTTCCCATTAGTTTGTAGCCAAAACGGTTCGGATGCTACCAAACAGAAGTTGGCACATCGACGGTTCTGAGTTCAGACGAGTCTCCTGACACTTGTTGGGGTCGTAGAGAGTGAGTCTACCCTTTCCATGGAGTGGTAATAGTTTCTAGTTCAAACCGTTCGGACGCTACAGACGTTTTCGTGGGAGGACCAATTTTTATTTGTTTGAATGTTACCACACAACAGCATGGAATTGTTTATTAGTCAGAAATAGCTGAAAAGTTATTCCTCTTCATGATGACGAGCCAAACAGCCTTGTGTCCACTTGGCCGCCTGAGCCATTGAGCAAATTAAAATAGGGGGTGCACATCCACGTTTTTTTAAAACCAGAAATGTATCATAATCTATTGGGGAAATGATCAATTTTTACCTATGTTTTCAGCTAGTCTAAAAAATAAAATAAAAACAGTAAAAAAATTAAAAACAGTAAAAAAATATATATAATTTATGTAATCCATTTTAGTAACATAACAAAATGTGGAAAAAGTAGAGGGGTCTGAATACTTTCCGAATGCACTGTATATTGGGTCCTTGGACCATAATGAGTATTGGTAGGCTCCTTAAGAGTAAATATCGGGCTACAGGCGAGGCATTGAAAGAAATCATGTCAAATGATGTTCTGCCCTCACAGGCCCCTGAGCCTGTGTAGGGATGTGACTTGAATTGGAATGTGACTGAAGGAGTGGGATGTTATTTTTGTGTGTGTGCGTTTATTTTTGTATTTTGTATGATGTCGGTTTTTCCCCGTTTCCTACAATGGATATTTTCTTTATAGTTTACCACCCGTATAGTTGGTGGCGGCATGGGGCGAAGGCCTCAGCGGGGAAGACGTTGGAAAAGGAAATAAGGAAGAAAGTGGAGCATATTATGAATAAACACGTGGGAGATTGCACAGGCCTTCTGAAAGATCTGGTGAAGGAGAAGATTATGGACAAGAAAAAAAGGAGAGACATGGAATATTTTTTGAGTGAAAATGGAATGGAGGATCGCACAGAACTTTTGGAAGAGCTTGAGGAGGAAATGGGACAGGACGAGAGTGAAGGTGAATTAAATGTGGTGGCAGGTGCAGTGTTGACTGCTGAGAAGAAGATGAGTGTAGAGTGAAGTAGTGAGAGTTTATGTTCTGAAAATATTACGGTGTTTTAGGTGTCAAGGTTATGGGCATATTGCAGCAGTGTGTAGGAGGGAGATGCCTAGATGTGAGACGTGCAGGAGGGCATTAGACGAAGGAATGTGTGGTATCGTGGAGAAAGTTGTGTGTGTTAGTTGTGGAAGTGATCATGGGGCTGGAGATCGGAGTTGTCCGGTGAGAGAAAGACAAATTGAGGTTGCCAGGGTTAGAGTAGTACAGAAAGTGTCGTATGCCGAAGCAGTGAAGAGAGTGGTAGAGAAAGATGGGTACAGGGTGAGGGATCCTGAGAGGATTCCTGTGAGTAGGCAGAGATCAAGCGAGAGTGATGGGAAGAATATGTGCTTCAGTAAGGTGGGCTTTTTTAGCTTTTATAGCCATGGTTGTTAATTGTACTGCATAAATTAATCTAAAGTCACAGAAAATAGAGGTTGTAGTGGCAACAGCAGATAAGTATTTGGGGTTGCGAGGATTTACTGCAGAACAGCTGCAGGGAGTGTTGAGTGGTAGTGATATGTCCTCTCAGACCGTTGGTCTGGAGTAGGACTAGGTAGGGTTAAATAGTGGAATGGGTGGTGTTTTTTTTTTTTTATAGAGGGTTAATAGGTGGTAGGGTCATTTTTCCTTTCCCCCAGTTTTGTTTTATTGCATCTAAGAATATAATGTAGGTAGGCTCTGGCTGTAAGGTGAATGCACCAATTTGTAAGTCGCTCTGGATAAGAGCGTCTGCTAAATGACGTAAATGAAATGTAAATGTGAATGGCCTCACACACCAGTACAGTAGGTGGCAGTGTATGCACTTAAAAGTTGGATGTGATCCGCCAACTAAATCCCAAAGAAGAAGAAGGCGGCGGCATGCACTTCTAACGCTTGTTTGGGGACCACCATAATACCATAGAAGAAGACGGTTTCTGAGCGACAGCCTTAAGTGTTTGCAGCGGCACACCCTCGCCACAGATAGAATAATGAGACAGATATTTCACTGAATGTTTAAATGTGAAAGGCCGCTGCGAGAATATGGAACGCAATTCTGCACATTTTCTCATCGCTGAATAATTTGATCTCAATACAGTTTTCTGTTCCCAAAACTAGAATATATTATGAACAGAGCGGACTAAGGTTTGTAGACTTCACCCTTTGCAAAAGTTTTTAGAAGGAGTGCAAAGGCGAATTTAGTTATTGCACACGCACACTATGCCGATGATGCTAGAACACGCCAATAGGATCTCGCTAGCTCGTGCTTGGCTCTGCCCCCCCCTTTGCTTGTTCTGCCCACTATGGCTCAGTTGTTCCTATTGGAAATGACAGGCTGTGGTATATCTTTGGTTTAGTTATAAAAAAATATTTGCCCTCCCTGCCACCACACACCTTTTATGTAGATTACGACGTCATCACTTGACTTCAGCAGCACAGATTCGACGGACCAGACTGCAGTGCAGAGCGAAGGCGATTCAATAGGAAGGAACGTTAGTTGAACACAAACTGAAAGTTAAGTTATTGCTATTATTAATTTGTTTTTTTTATGGAAATGTCCCATTACAAACAACTCGTCGTATGTGGATGTATGCAAGACCAAGTTAACTTTCTAGACGGCATAGCTAGCTAACGGCAACACAGCATTTGGGAACTTAACGCGTTAGCTAGCCAACAGTAGCTACATTACGTTAGACTAGCCAGTGTAGTGTACAAATAACCTCTTAATTTCAACTACACCGTTTTGTTTATGTAGCTAGATGTTAACTAACAAGCTAGGTGGACTTGTGTTTGGGGATACTTGTCTAGCTATATCGTTCAAAGATGGCTAGCTAACGTTTGTGATATATCTGGCCAATGTTAACTAGCTAACGTGAACAACTTTAGCTAGCTAGTCGATGTTGTTTGGCACATTGCGTTTTGTCATAACGTTATCCCACATTTCCCCCACTTGTTAGACTCCACTGCTAGCTACTTTTTATAGCCACTGTTACAACTAAGTTACAGTCACATTGTTCTGAAAAACCCATATAGCTAGCAAGCAACTACTTCCTAACATGTTGTGCCTATTTAAAATGGCCGCATAGGTCAATTTCTTTGAGGGTATAGTTCGTAGCAAAGACAGTAGAGTATGAACATAGGCAGAAACTGCTTCTCCAGTAAAAATTCCCGATCACGCTTGTAGGGGTCATGGCGACGTTGGCTGGCTAAGCGCATGCGCAAAATGCGTAATTGCTCTAACGGCCGTCAAAATCAAAAGCTTTACAACTAGAAAATTATTAACTAAGGAAGAATTTTTAACTTCTCTCATTGACTTTTCAAACCCTGGTCTGCTTCGCGAGCGTTCCTGGAAGTCTTGCGATGTTGCGTCTCTGGGTTCAAAAACTTTGTTGGTACTAACTAAATCTGAGTGTAAATTGGTTAACGTTAGCTACCTGTAGTTTCGCCAAGTCCGCTAGCTAGCTAGGCATTATTGTTTGCAACTCACTATCACTTCTGTCAATGCAAGTACGTTTCTTTTCTACAGATTATTCAGTGTATGCCAAAGATGGTCAGACCTCACTCCGGACCTCCTCGGTTCAAGCCCAGGTATTTGCAGAATTTGAGTTAAATTGCAACAAACAAGGCAGTTTAGACTAATAGTAAACTAACTGGCATTGTCAATTATTTGGTTTTAAGTAAATCTATTTTAAGTGTAGACATGGCTAATGATAAAATAACATGAATTGTGTGGATGGATTCTAAAATACTGTTTTGTTATTCAACAGGCCCTACTCGGATGGCTACAACAACATGCCACATGAAGAGCATTACAGCCCCCACCCCAGGAGTCAGAGAGGATTCCGGGGCCACCCAGGAAAAGCCCCTCCAAGCTGGAGCGATTCCAGAGGCAGAGGACGCGCTCACTTTGCCAAAAGGCCCACACTGGTGGGAGAACGGCGGGAGCAACAATTCAATCAGTGGAGGTCCCAAAACCAGGATTCCTTCAACACATACCCCTCTCAATCGGAGCCCCATCATGGCCACAGGAGGCCATCCCCATCCAGGCCAAACCGCCCCCCCCAAGCCAAGCATAGGTCCTCCCCACACAGTCCTGCACAGGGGCAACAGGGCCAGAGGGGAGCACCTATCCATGGACAACACCCAGGTCACAGATCACCGTCACCACACCATTACCATAGCCAACCCCCTGACAGGAGGCTGCCACCCTCACCATCCCCCCACAGTTCCTTCAGGGGCCCCCACAAGCGCCCAGATCCTTCCCACGAAGAGGACAGGAGCTGGGGTGCCCGGCCGCATCATAGCCCCAGGGAGAGGCTGTTTGAGCGCCCAGGTCGTGGGGGGAAGCGCTGGAATGGGCCAGGGCCCTTTCCCCACCAACACAATAGTGAACGTGGGCCTTCTGGCACCACGCAGAGAAAGCCACGGGAGTTTCATGGCAGACGTCCATATCCAGAGAGGTACAGGAGTGAAGATGCAGTATGGGCTGGGTAAAATAAATGGAGAGAGTGTAAACTCACGTAGTCCTCTGCACCACAGAGGTCAAAATTATCGTTCAGTGTTACAATGCTGATAAACTGTAAAATGCAGGGATCTGATGTTAATGCACTGGTCACCTGCCACTGGAAAGAGTGTATATGCTCACTGAAGGTTTTACTCTCCTACCTGTATCATGGCATTATAGTGAAGGGGCAGCATAAAGAAACGCTAAACCTCCGTTTCCTGCTTCACACGATAATGGATCTTCCAATGTAATCATTTGTTGTATTGTTTGTGATGGATGTGCAGGTGGTCTGCTGAGCGAGATCCCAGGCAGCAGCATGGAGTGGTGGGAAGGGAGAGGGAGGGCAGCGGACGCCACAGCGTTGAGTGGGCACAGGAAGGCAGCCCTCACCACCCTCCCCACAGATCCCCTGCATGGAAACGAGGTCCGTCGTCTTCCTCTTTCTACCAGAACAGCCCGCAGGAAAGGCCAAGTGGACCACCACACAAGCGGAATTTCCAGGAGCGCAGGATGCCTCCTACAGGCCCTGGTCTGGAGCATGGTCATCCAAAGTTCCCTCGGAGAGAGATCCCACAATACTTCTCTAGGGCATTTGGCGGCCGTCCCTTGTCTCTCAGGGACAAGAGTCGCTTGCTGAAGGGGCGTAAAATTAGAGCAGAGTCGGTGATGAGGCTCAAAGCACCTCCACCTCGACCCAGAGGAGCAGATATCAAGAACCAGGAAGAGGAAGGTCCGCATACGTCCAGAGGAAATGCACGATCCAAGTTTGCTCTTCGGAAGGAGCGTTTCCAAGCAAAGGCTGGCCCATTGAGGAAGAGGCCTATACCTCATCAGTCACCAGCCAATTCAACCAAGTCTTCCAGGGACTCTGAGTCACACAAGGAACATTTGGACTCTCACCGCGCCTTGAGCACACACAGGTACAGTATCTTCCTTCTCACTCTGGGAGCTGGGGCGTGATGGTGTTTAGAAGATATCTGAATATGAAGGGAATGCCAACTTACAGCCATTTTCCCGTGATGGAGATGTCCTGAATCCGTAAAGTTTTGAAATCAAATATCCAAAGTCCTCTGGGGTTGCACTTTCAAGTGTGCTTGCAGTGAACAGAATAATTCACAAGTGTATTTTTTCTGGGTGCCAGTCATTTGAAGTTGAATTAATATCAGCCTCTTCAATAATGTCAGATGTGATTGAAAGATACTAGAAAAGCCATATCCATATGTGTGATGGGAGGCCTGTTCCTCTGATGCTATTGGGGTCTGAAGCTAGAGTGGTGCTCTCCGTCTCTGACCAAGTGGAAAAGATGAAGAGACATGCTCACGCAACAAACCCCCCTGACAGAACAGGAGTTCATCCATGAAGAGGATCGAAGAGGACCGCGGACAAGACTCTTAAATCAGCTGAAATGCCACAGTCGTTGCACACCAACATCCATGACTCGTAGGAAAGGAGGAGCTTTTCTTATCCTGGATGAGCAGTGACCTATATAGGAGACGGCTCTGAAATGGACAGCTGTCATACTGATTCAGGTAACACGATTCTGCCAGTTGACAAAGGGATATTTGGCCTTCCTGAGGATGAAGTCAGTGAGCAATAACATTCAAATGGCATTGGAATATGCAGCAGCTTCCATGAAGATGACGTCCAGAGGACTTTTGAAGATAGTACACTACCACTGACAACAGGAGGCAGAAGCTCCGAGGCTATACAGCATCAAGAGGAGAGGACACTGCCACTGAAGAATCTCCATATCAATATTTACTCGATAGTCCCAAGATGAACCCAGCCAGGTTATTGTGTGCTGCTGTTCCTGAACTGTTGGCCCCTTTTTATGCTCTGGTAATACATAGATGCATACAATACTACTTGTATTTCTTAGACACAGAATGCAGCTGACTCAATATTTAAAAAGTGATTTACAATCATTACTCATTAAATGTACAATAGACCTACAAGAAACAAAGAAATGAAGCGATAATGGACCACACCTCTGTACATTAACATCACAATTAACCTTATCTGGCTAAGCCAGTGAACAGTGGACTTTTCTCTGCATGTAAGAATACATAACATCTGCATCTATGCAGAACATATGCAGTGAAAAACAGTTTTGTACACAACAGTGGATCTCATCTCTATACAGCAATTTTGCAGAGGATGGTGGCCTTACAACTACAACAATTGGATGTCGACACGTAAACAATGGAATCCATTCCTACAAAGTGCAAGATTCTTCACAACGTGCTCTGTAGATTGCTTGTTTATTCAAGTGTACTACTGAGTTTTGACTGAAGATCTACAAGTTGAAGACGGACGAGCTCGTGTTGAATTCATCACACTACTTGTACCATATAGGAGAGCAAGATCACAATAACATACCCTTTGAAATTGAATGTCCAATGATTGCAGAGGAGTTGCGATTTGGAAAGGGACTGAACTTAACGAAGAGCAGTAAGGAATGAACTGATGATCACCAATCTTAAATGGATGGCCCATTTCACTGAACAAATTAGATACTTTAATCTCCCATTATTTAAATAGGAGAGGATTGACAGCCTTCGAGTCTTCACTTCAAGTAAAAATGTGGACCGCAAGAGACTAGTTCATCAAAGCTATCAGCATCACTTGTCCATTTCATACATGTCCGTTTTCACACAGTGAAGGGTTCAGTGAAAAGCAGCGTTAAGAAACCATGGACATTACATGCTCTTTGTAAGTACCTGAGTGATGATCAGCTTTTATTATGACCTTTATTCCACATTCCACTTTCATGAGTGATTTATATATGAATCTGTAGCCGCCTGCTTTTTATAACTCCCTTCATCCGCCATGTAACTTTGTCATTCCATGTCCCCCAACATCTGTTCTACAGAATGACACCATTTCAACTTTTCAGGGCATTATTTAGACTGATGGAATTTTCCCTTACAGGGCAACATCTAACGATGATGCTGCCAGTAGTAATGTTCTGCTTGACTGCCTACCAAACCTCCCGAGTGGCGCAGCGGTCTAAGACACTGCATCTCAGTGCTTGAGGCGTCACTACAGACCCCATGGTTCGATTCCAGGCTGTATCACAACCGGCCGTGATTGGGAGTCCCATAGGGCGGCGCACAATTGGCCCAGCGTCGTCCGGGTTTGGCCGGTGTAGGCCGTCATTGTAAATAAGAATTTGTTCTTAACTGACTTGCCTAGTTAAATAAAGATAAAATAAATAAATAAAAACCTGGCCTCACAGGCTTTACTGAATAGGATGCTAATCTCTTGTCATCCTCTACCTCGGCTGGTCTCTCTCCAGCTCTTCCTCTATAGACCGACGGTTGGCTCGTGACCTAGTCGTTGTGTCCCAGTGGCAAGCGCCTGGGACAAACTCCAGCTCAAGGGACAGTCCCCCAAGGGATAGAAGTAGAACACCAAATAACAAAACAGGTAAGTGAACTGTGACATTTTTGTTTAGTCTCATTTTGTCTGTTGGCTAACAGTTTGTTTGATACCCCTCTACAGGAATGTGACGTCTCTTGGCGAATTAAGATAATTCATTAATCAATGTGAGAATGAGACTTCTCTTACTCACTCTCACCTCACTTTTCAGAGCCCTATTACAATTCAGATGAACAACTTACGCTGAATGAACGCTTCTCTAAAATTCATGACTCCAGTCCCTCCCCTTCTCCAAGAGACTGGAGATATGCAGAAAGGTAATCCGCCAATTTAAATATAAGAAACTGGTTGAGGATTATGGAGGACTAAAAGTGCCACAATTAAATAAGTAAATACACCATTAAATAATTACTTAAATGTGTCATTAATTAATTAAAATTAGAATTAAATACATAAATGTGTTATTAAATGTGTCATTAATTAATTCAAATACCGATTCATTTTATGTAAAATACATATATAATAATTTCACTATTTACATTTACATTTCATGGTCCTGCGTTGGAGTGCTTCCTGAATTACTTAAAACTGTCAAACTGACCCATCAAAAGTTGGTAGGCAGAACCTAACGCCTGATTGGTTACCCTCTGCATCAAGCCAAGACAAATCAATTCCGGATAATGTCAGCAGGTCCTGCTTCTACATCCTCTGCTAAGTTTAAAATGTCTCTAACCAACTCCCTGGAAAGTTCACGGAGATCCTCCATTGTCTCTATCCAGGTTGGCCTACTCTACTTCAGACCAAAGCAATGGATCAGACTAGATTCGCGTTAGCCCCGCCCACTGACTTTGATGGGTCAGTTTGACAGTTTTAAGTAATTCATGAATCACTGCAATGCAGGATCATGAAATGTAAATGTAAATAGTGAAATAATTATATGTATTTTACATAAAATGAATCGGTATTTGAATTAATTAATGACACATTTAATAACACATTTATGTATTTAATTCTAATTTTAATTAATTAATGACACATTTAAGTAATTATTTAATGGTGTATTTATTTATTTAATTGTGGCACTTTTAGTCCTCCATAGAGGATTACTGTAAAATAGTTGATGTAAAGTTAATATATTGTTATGAATGTATTACATGGAATATAACTGGAACCATTTTATTGGTGTAAAATCTTTGAGGAGCCCTGTGGTTGTGGGTTACATGGTATGATGCATCACACAATGGATGTGGCTTCACACAGCAATAACTGTAGTTTCAGTCAGGATTATTTAGCCAGATAATTCACTTTGTCTTGTTTCATATTTTAGGCAAACGGACATGCCACAGGAGAACCACACACCTGAAAGACCCTTCAGGAAACCAGGACCACCACAGGTGAGGAGCACTTCCTGATTTTGACTGGGTTCATAGAAAGCTGAATGTTCATAGCTTTAGTGTTGGGTGTGGTAACATGTTTACTGTAATGAGAGTAAGCTGTCAAAGGATGCCATACGTTGAATGTTGCCTCCCATAATTTTGGAAACCTCAGTGAGCAACTCCATTCCACCATATATGAACATGCTATACTCTTATGTCCCACAGAGACCCAGCTTCCGTCCCAGCAGCCCAAATCATAAACCAGGTCCTCCTCCCCAGAGAAAGCCAGGCCCTGAACTGCCCGGTCCCTTTAGGAAGCCACTCATGGTATGAAGCCTTTTTGAACAGCTCCTCTTATAACTTATGGTCAGTATGACTTATTTTAACCCACTGACTGTGTTGTGGGCCTCCTTGGCCTTTTGGAAATGTAGGTAGTGATGTCAGGTGGATGAAGCTGTATGTCACTGAAAGACTGCATTTCTGACTGTAGTCTTGCTGAAATAATTTTTCCTCCTTTGTAGGGAGGCTTTGTGCCAAGTCCCTTCTCTCAGAGGCAAGTGTTCAGGAAAAGCCAGAGCATCCTGTCAAAATACCGCAACATGCCGACGATGCGTCAACGCGTACCTCCCAACAGAGGGTCTAATTACCGCCGCTGGTGACTGACTGCACAAATCAGGGTTACACACCCTCCCCCCTGGCCTTGTGCTTTGGGTTGCTTCTTTCTCTTGGAGATGGTCACCTGATAGAACTCTCCCTGTGCCAACAGGAGTCCATCAGAAAAAGCCAGATACACTAAATGTTTAATTTTATTACATAATGTTTTAAATATATACAATAGGCAATCAGTTTCTATTCTTCCTGACCGTAGTTATTATGGACATTGTATTGTGATTTCACATCTGTGTTACAGCTCTCATCACATATAGTTTCCAGCACCCCTTTATCCCAAATGCTTAGGTTTTGTATTGTTTTTACTGTAAAGTAGACTAAAAGAGTATTCCACAGGGGCTGTTGAACATGATGCTCTGTGTCAAATGTGTGTGTGATCAAGTTTTTATGATTCTCAACCTGTAAAAACTACTGATGCCCCCTGCATGTCCTGCTCATTTGAACATTTGTTTTAAGCTATTTCAAATAAATGGCTGGACATGCCTTGTGTGGAGTTTTCTGTGTTGTGCTAAAGGAGGCAGCACAGAAGAGGCTCTCAATGGGATGTACCTTCTGAGGGACTGGGGAGATCTAGTTAGCATTTCACATTGACTGATATTCCTTTTGAACTGAAGTCACCCATTTCATAGTATTGAGCTTCATGGGAAATACAGAGGCTTGATCATTAGTGTCCCTTTACTGCAATATGAGTTTAAAACAAAAAGGAATAAGCAGTGATCAGAATATAGCTGGGAAATTCTAGACTTGTTCTCATTTATTGATACAATGCTGTAGTTGGTTTGTACATTTTTTAATTTATTATTTTTTTTTAAAAATGTAACCTTTATTTAACCAGGTAGGCCAGTTGAGAACATGTTCTCATTTACAACTGCGACCTGGCCAAGATAAAGCAAAGCAGTGCGATTAAAAACAACACAGAGTTACATACATTGAGGGAAAAAAGTATTTGATCCCCTGCTGATTTTGTACGTTTGCCCACTGACAAAGAACTGATCAGTCTATAATTTTTATGGTAGGTTTATTTGAACAGTGAGAGACAGAATAACAACAAAAAAACACATGTAAAAAATGTTATAAATTGATTTGCATTTTAAAGAGGGAAATAAGTATTTGACCCCCTCTCAATCAGAAAGATTTCTGGCTCCTATGTGTCTTTTATACAGGTAACGAGCTGAGATTAGGAGCACACTCTTAAAGGGAGTGCTCCTAATCTCAGTTTGTTACCTGTATAAAAGACACCTGTCCACAGAAGCAATCAATCAATCAGATTCCAAACTCTCCACCATGGCCAAGACAAAAGAGCTCTCCAAGGATGTCAGGGACAAGATTGTAGACCTACACAAGGCTGTAATGGGTTACAAGACCATCGCCAAGCAGCTTGGTGAGAAGGTGACAACAGTTGATGCGATTATTCGCAAATGGAAGAAACACAAAATAACTGGCAATCTCCCTCTGCCTGGGGCTCCATGCAAGATCTCACCTCGTGGAGTTGCAATGATCATGAGAACGGTGAGGAATCAGCCCAGAACTACACAGGAGGATCTTGTCAATGATCTCAAGGCAGCTGGGACCATAGTCACCAAGAAAACAATTGGTAACACACTACGCCGCGAAGGACTGAAATCCTGCAGTGCCCGCAAGGTCCCCCTGCTCAAGAAAGCACATATACATGCCTGTCTGAAGTTTGCCAATGAACATCTGAATGATTCAGAGGAGAACTGGGTGAAAGTGTTGTGGTCAGATGAGACCAAAATCAAGCTCTTTGGCATCAACTCAACTCGCCGTGTTTGGAGGAGGAGGAATGCTGCTTATGACCCAAGAACACAATCCCCACCGTCAAACATGGAGGTGGAAACATTATGCTTTGGGGGTGTTTTTCTGCTAAGGGGACAGGACAACTTCACTGCATCAAAGGGATGAAAAAAAGTCCCTTCCCTCAGCCAGGGCATTGAAAATGGGTCGTGGATGGGTATTCCAGCATGACAATGACCCAAAACACACAGCCAAGGCAACAAAGGAGTGTCTCAAGAAGAGGCACATTAAGGTCCTGGAGTGGGCTAGCCAGTCTCCAGACCTTAATCCCATAGAAAATCTGTGGAGGGAGCTGAAGGTTCGAGTTGCCAAACGTCAGCCTCGAAACCTTAATGACTTGGAGAAGATCTGCAAAGAGGAGTGGGACAAAATCCCTCCTGAGATGTGTGCAAACCTGGTGGCCAACTACAAGAAACATCTGACCTCTGTGATTGCCAACAAGGGTTTTGCCACCAAGTACAAAGTCATGTTTTGCAGAGGGGTCAAATACTTATTTCCCTCATTAAAATACAAATCAATTTATAACATTTTTGACATGCGTTTTTCTGGATTTTTTGTTGTTATTCTGTCTCTCACTGTTCAAATAAACCTACCATTAAAATTATAGACTGATCATGTCTTTGTCAGTGGGCAAATGTACAAAATCAGCAGGGGATCAAATACTTTTTCTCCTCACTGTATGGGGTAAAACAAAACATAAAGTCGAAAATATATATACAGTGTGTGCAAATGTAGCAAATTATGGAGGTAAGGCAATAAATAGGCTATAGTGCAAAATAATTACAATTAGTATTAACACTGGAATGATAGATGTGCAATAGATTAGATACAAAAATCTAATCTAATTATATGGAGGTTCTTGTATGATTAGATTTGTATGAGATAATACTTTGGCTTGTGTATTATGGCTGAGTAGATCACTTATTAATCTCTGCTAAATTAGCTCCCCCCTTACTCCTGTAACACCGTAGAATAGAAAATATATAGGGGAACCGTCTGAAGCAAAAAATAACTATGTAAAACATTGAGAGATGTGAAAAACAACAAATGCACATGGGGGGGGAAAAAGTCGGAAGGAAAGTTCGCACTAGTTTGAGAGGTGGAGAGAACTGTTCTGTTGGGTGTGCCAGAAATCCATTCCTTGGAGATCACCAGTCAGACAAGCTGTTGCCACTTTAGTGTAGGCTAGCCATGTCCTTTCCTGTGATTGGTTACAGGCTGTCACCTTAAAAGGAGGGGATTGCAGGGGTCCGGTTCCATTCCAGATCTGTCACAAAGGTTTGACAGCTGAAGGAAGCTCGGGGGAATAACAGGGGTGTAGAAATATAGAAAAGTCAGAATAAGACAGTGAGAAAGAACCATAAATAAAGGAGACAAAAGTACACACTGAGCTTATACAGTCCGGCCATAATTATTGGCACCCTTGATAAAGATGAGCAAAAAAGACTAAAATAAATAATACAAATACAGAGCTATATTGTATGCTCCAAAAAAATGGGGAACTTATTTTATACTAATACAATTTCTCAGAGAAATAGACTTTGTTCAATAAGTAATACAAAATAATCTAAAGATAAGGGTCAAAATTATTGCCACCCCTGTTTTCATTGCTTCATCACCCTCCCCTGCGAAGATAATGGCACTGAGCCTTTTTCTAAAATGTTTTATGAGATTGGGAGGGATCTTAGACCATTCCTCCATACAGAATTTTTGCAGAACCTTGATATCCTTTGTGTGCTCTTATGGACTGCCCTCTTCATTTCAAAATACAGGTTTTCAATGGGGTTCAAGTCTGGAGACCGAAATGGCCATTGCAAAATGTTGATTTTGTGGTCAATTAAAAATGTCTTGGTGGATTTTGATAAGTGCTTGTGGTTATTGTCTTGCTAGAAGATCCACTTGCGGCCAGAGGCAACCAGGTTTTTGGCTAATCAAAATCCACAAAGAAATGGTTAAATGGTGGGGTTGCCCTAGCACTACACAGCTGATTCAAATAACCAACTCATCATCAAGCTTTGATTATTTGAATCAATGTTTCACACATTTTGGCAGACAGAAATTCCACTTATATCTTGTAATAATCTCGGTGAATAACATAATTTCAAAAGAATGTAATGATAAACTGGTAGCGCTTCATATTCCCATTCAAAATCCAATCAAGCTTCCTCTGGACTTTTTCCATTCAAATTCAAACTCAAATTGTGGAATTGACTTGGGGTTTTCATGGCATGCTGTATTGACCTCTGCACCTTGCTCTCCCCTCGGAAGATAGTGGATAATCGAGTGAGTGTAAAATGCACTGTAGTCTGTCCCTTTAAGTGCTCCCAAATCTTTAGCCCTGCAATCTAGTTGTGTCATCCTCAGGGACGGCCCCTGTGGACAGTCCCAATGATATTGGTGGTGAGCATGTCTGAGTGCTCCACTATCCTGTGCTAAACTTAGCCCTGACAATACCTACTCTCATCACACTAACACACTCCATGTATTTGGGTTACAATGGAACCAGTGGTGAATGGTGTAGAGTTACCACCAATGGAGCTGTATTGCGATAGGAACACTGGCCAAACAAGGTGAGCATGTACAATAGAAATCCTAACTTGAACACCAACTAAGATAGCTATCTTGTCAATGGATTGGTGTATCTTTTAATGTCTGTAACAAACGGTAACTGCTGATGTTTTCATTGATTCTTCATTGTGATTTTTCAGTGTGCACAGAGTGTATACAATGATGTTATGTTTGTAACAACAGTTGTCCCTTACTGTTGGCAGCCTAGTTTATTTTCTTGAGCAAAAATGATTAATCCATGTACTTATCCTCTTGTTATCTGATAAGTGTAAGACTGTGATACTTTCCAAAATAGGCTTGAACACGTGCAGGTATATGTTCTGATTGACTAATGTGCTTGGTGAAATTCCAAAGACTTAACTCACTGCACTCTGTCATCATTTTAGATAGAAATTCTTAGCTTCTGGAGCTCTTTTCTCTCTTTCATTTTGTTACTCAACATATCACCTTGGCGTTCTTCTGTGTCACCATGGGCAACTATAGCTCTGCCCTCACCGCGGGTAAGCCATGCCACCATTCTCAAATCCTATTTTACGTTCCTTTTAACTCGTTTAATATGCTTTAGATTGATCAATGGCTCAACAATTGAAGAATGCCTGACACTCTGTGTTTTTATGATGCCCTCTGTTATTTTACTTCAAATCAAATAAACAATGTGTCTAATGCAGTCTGTTGGTTTGTTTTTCATTTTTTCCCCCAAGACATTGATGATTTTGATGCTATCGTTTCGGTCACAGAGACTCTGAACCAATTGGCAGCACATGTGGATGACCAAAGATTTCAGTCACAGATTCTCTCATTGGTAAGTATACTTCTACACACCGATATCTGATATGGTTATCTGTTTGTTATTGTAGAGTAGTGCAGCATGTGATAGGGTTGTTTAGTCTGTGAGGAGCTTGTCAACTACTCACAGCTCTGTTTGTGTCCCATTTGTCCTTGAGTTAAATTTAACATTTGAGCTGGCAAGCTGGCGAACAACCCAAACACGCATGCACAAGCAAGCAAACATGCACATTTAACATGTGTTAGTATTTATAAAGGTACTGAAGTATTCCATATTCTTTAGGGACACAATTACAATAACCACCTGTACACATAACACGATATCTGTCATTTTAAAATAGTGAAATCCTTGTCTCCTTTCAATACTCATGTTTATTTCTCTGTTTGCTGTTGTCCTCTCAGGATGCTCAGTCTAGCCCTGGCTTACAGGAAGATGTACAGGTAGCCCCTACACAGGAGGGTGAGACGAAAGAGAAAACGGAGCTGGACCTTTCCTCTGTCATATCACTCATCAGCACCCAGACAGCACCTACAAACACCCCTGTTTTACCTGTAAGTCCATTTTCACCTTACAATGCTTGCTGCCCAATGTCATTGCTTATTCCTGTTGTGTTGGTTTAAAGACTATCAATTGTTTGACCAGTTTGTGCTGTTGTGATGTGTTGGTGGACAGGTGGTTGAAAAGAAGCCTCACCGCCCTCCAAGGCCCACAAAGCTCTCCTCTTCATCATCCACTGGTGCCAGTGCCAGTGTTTCCCACCCCTTCTCCACCCTCCTCCCTGGGTCTCTCTCTGCTATCCTGCGTGTGACCCTGCCCCCTCACCTCACCTCTAACCCCAATCCCAGGAGGGAGCCAAGTGCCCAGGGCCCACTGACCCTAGAACAGCTGCGGACAGAGCTCCGGGACCTGAGGAACGAGGTAGAAATGATGAAGAGCCAGCACAAGTAAGTCTTTGTTTATCTTTGCGTGTAACTACAGTATGTCTTGTATTGTGTTTTCCAAGTGTGCCTCTGATTTAGGATTTCTCTTCTCTATGTGTTAGCAAAGAGATTCAACTGCTGATGAATGAGCTGGATGAGGAGAAAAGGATCCGTTTGTCAGTACAGGTACTGTGCGTCTGTCAGCAGACACTGCATATGATCCAAGTACTGAATACAACACTCTATCGGCGATATACCTAACAGAGATTAGATGTTTACCTACACTCTTAGAAAAAAAGGGTTCTTCGGCTGTGCCCATAAAACTATTTTTGGTTCCAGGTAGAACTCTTTTGGGTTCCATGTAGAAACCTCTGGAAAGAGTTTTACATGGAACCCAAAAGGCTTCTACCTAGAATTTAAAGGGTTCTACCTGGACCCCAAAATAGTTTTTCAAAGGGTTCTCCTATGGGGACAGCCAAATAACCATTTTAGGTTCTAGATAGCACCTAATACAATGTGTAGGCATCGTATTAGAGATCAATTTTATGACAGGAACTTTTCCTGACTTAAGACAGGCTCTGTTTATTACAGTCCAGATTGATGTTAATGGTTGTAATGATTTCTTATCATGGTGCAGTGCTTGCTTACTGTTGTGTCCACTTGATGTTACCTCTGGGTCTCATGTCTGTGTGTTGTCTTGTGTCTCAGATGGAGGTGGCACAGATGAAGAAGCACAGGTCTAAATGAGCTGTCAGACTCAAACAGCATGACATCCCCAACAAAACCAGAAAAAACGGTCATCTGTCTCATAGAATCTTCAAAATGAAGTATCAAAGACTGAGGCGTTTGCTGTGTTTAAAATAGAATAATAATGAACAATCTTAGTTGTTTAGTTGAGAAAAGTTTAACTCATGAGCATCTTGTACAGAGACATTTTATATTAGTTTATTTAACTTTTTTAAATAAAAATAAATGAATAAACAATCATGTTCTTTACGTCAACAGTGGTTTAAAGTACATTTTCATTTGTATTTACGTGGCTCTCATTCCCAATTGTTTTATTTTATTATTGACATTCCTAAAATATTGCGTTTGTGGTATGGTTCCTCTACAGATATCATACCACACAATCAGTGACAGTGACATAGACACAATCATAGTATTTTTCTAGATTCTCGTAATAAATACAATATATTTTTCTTTAAAATCATTGCACTTATTTACAATGCTCTGGACTCTTACTAGACTTAAGCCACTGAATACAAGGAGTTGGCAGTGAGTAGCTAGCTGTATGTAGGCTACCTGGGTCAACCACCTCACACTATTTACCCAGAGAGCCATCATATGGCCGCTGCTGATTCTGTACATCTTAGATCTGCTATTGTCTCAGAAGTTGGACTCCTCACAGGGGATGGGTCTGAAGGTCACCTCTCTGTTCTCCTCCAGGATGACATCATAGCGGCAGAGAGGCCTGTGTGTGTTAGAGGGTGACATTGATAATTTAGTAAAAGGGTAAGAGATGTTTGATAAGAGGTGAAACTTTCATGCAAAATTACACAAGGAAACAGTGACTTGACACACTAAAAGTCACATGAAAGGGCAAAGTACAAGTAAAGATGCCTTCAGAAAGTATATACCCCTTGACTTTTTCTACATTTTGTTGTGTTACAAACTGAATTAAATAGATTACATTGAGATTTTTTGTAACTAGCCTACACACAATACCCCATAATGTCAAAGCGGAATTATGTTTTTCGAACATTTTACAAATTAATAAAAAATTAAACGCTGAAATGTCTTGAGCCAATATGTATTCAACCCCTTTGTTATGGCAAGCCTAAATAAGTTTAGGAATAATAGTTTGGACTCACTACGTGTGCAATAAGTGTTTAACATGATTTTTGAACAGCTAACTCATCTCTATACACCACACATCTGTAAGGTCCCTCAGTCGAGCAGTGAATTTCAAAACAGATTCAACCACAAACACTAGGGAGGTTTTCCAATGCCTCGCAAAGAATGGGAACCTATTGGTAGATGGATAAAAATGTAATACAAATGCAGATATTGAATATCCCTTTGAGCATGGTGAAGTTATTAATTACATTTTGGATGGTGTATCAATAAACCCAGTCACTAAAAAGATACAGGTATCCTTCCTAACTCAGTTGCCGGAGAGGAAAGAAACTGCTCAGGGAATGGATGCTTCTACAAAGTATTGACTCAGAGGTGTTAATAGTTACAGTGAGGGAAAAAAGTATTTGATCCCCTGCTGATTTTGTACGTTTGCCCACTGACAAAGACATGATCAGTCTATAATTTTAATGGTAGGTTTATTTGAACACAGAGACAGAATAACAACAACAAAAATCCAGAAAAACGCATGTCAAAAATGTTATAAATTGATTTGCATTTTAAATGAGGGAAATAAGTATTTGACCCCTCTGCAAAACATGACTTAGTACTTGGTGGCAAAACCCTTGTTGGCAATCACAGAGGTCAGACATTTCTTGTAGTTGGCCACCAGGTTTGCACACATCTCAGGAGGGATTTTGTCCCACTCCTCTTTGCAGATCTTCTCCAAGTCATTAAGGTTTCAAGGCTGACGTTTGGCAACTCGAAACTTCAGCTCCCTCCACAGATTTTCTATGGGGTTAAGGTCTGGAGACTGGCTAGCCCACTCCAGGACCTTAATGTGCCTCTTCTTGAGACACGCCTTTGTTGCCTTGGCTGTGTGTTTTGGGTCATTGTCATGCTGGAATACCCATCCACGACCAATTTTCAATGCCCTGGCTGAGGGAAGGAGGTTCTCACCCAAGATTTGATGGTACAAGGTCCTGTCCATCGTCCCTTTGATGCTGTGAAGTTGTCCTGTCCCCTTAGTAGAAAAACACCCCCAAAGCATAATGTTTCCACCTCCATGTTTGACGGTGGGGATGGTGTTCTTGGGGTCATAGGCAGCATTCCGCCTCCTCCAAACACAGCGAGTTGAGTTGATGCCAAAGAGCTCGATTTTGGTCTCATCTGACCACAACACCCAGTTCTCCTCTGAATCATTCAGATGTTCATTGGCAAACTTCAGAAGGGCCTGTATATGTGCTTTCTTGAGCAGGGGGACATTGCGGGCGCTGCAGGATTTCAGTCCTTCACGGCGTAGTGTGTTACCAATTGTTTTCTTGGTGACTATGGTACCAGCTGCCTTGAGATCATTGACAAGATCCTCCCGTGTAGTTCTGGGCTGATTCCTCACCATTCTCATGATCATTGCAACTCCACGAGGTGAGGTCATTTGTGTTTCTTCCATTTGCGAATAATCGCACCAACTGTTGTCGCCTTCTCACCAAGCTGCTTGGCGATGGTCTTGTAGCCCATTCCAGCCTTGTGTAGGTCTATAATCTTGTCCCTGACATCCCTGGAGAGCTCTTTGGTCTTGGCCATGGTGGAGAGTTTGGAATCTGATTGATTGATTGCTTCTGTGGACAGGTGTCTTTTATACAGGTAACAAACTGAGATTAGGAGCACTCCCTTTAAGAGTGTGCTCCTAATCTCAGCTCGTTACCTGTATAAAAGACACCTGGGAGCCAGAAATCTTTCTGATTGAGAGGGTATCAAATACTTTTTTCCCTCACTATATGTACATAAATGAGATTACTTCATTTTCAATAAATTTGCAAACATTTCTAAAAACATGTTTTCACTGAGAGAAAAATAAACAATTTCATTCATTTTGAATTCAGGCTGTAACACAACAAAATGTGGAATAAGTCAAGGGGTATAAATACTTTGTGAAGGCATAGTACTTACAGTAAATGGGTGACACGTGAGAGAAGCCCTAGATAAGAGGGTGCAAATGAACACTGACCTGTCTTTACGCTCCAGGTGTACAAGACGGATGCGGAGCACTCGTAGTTTGTGCTTAAATTGTAATGCATTCCCTGTAGAGAATTTTATTGAGATCTTGTGGACTTTCTGTATGTCTTTATCAAACTGGGCCAATAATCTGGTCTCTGAGTACTTCTCAAACTTGGATGCTTTACTGAAGAAGGAGAGAGAATGAGATGTTAATTACTTCCCCCAGAGTGTGTAAACATTCACAAGTATGTGTCGTTTTGAGAATGATATGGTGAGAAAATAGTAACTTACTGGTTTATTGTTGCCTCTGCCACCTCACTACCATTGTGTAGTTTGATGGAGATGTAGCCCCAGCGAGTATCATGGTTCCATGTTACAATGTCCACCCTATAGTTTGTCCCTTAGAGAGAGAAAAGAGAGAGAGAGAGAGAGAGAGAAAAATGTGATTTCTAGTTAGTCCTGTACATTTTGCCTGATCATCGAAAATAAGTGGTTAGAAGAAGAAAGCAGACTGGGCAAAGCAGTATTCCCAGAAAGTCTCTTTATAGAAGTCAAATGTGTATGTAAGCCGATGATTATCCACTTACTGCAGAATGGAGTCTGTTTATTGGTGGTGAAGAAAGCATTGGTTTGCTTCAAAGGCACCAGAGTGTCCTTCCACTCAATGCTATCATATCCTGGAACAACAGATAAAACAGCCATGTTATGTCTGTGTAAAGGGACACTGCCTTCCAAAGATGGATTGGCCATCACGTGAAATAACTATGTGTGATTCATGAATGTACATTAGCTTAATCAAGGCACTGATTTTAGCGAGTCTGGAAACTTTTTGTGATTACATATGTGATTAAAAAAGCTTGAATCTAATGGAGAACTCATTAATCTAATGGGAGTTAGAGAGTACCAACCAAAGACTGGGCATCCGGCAGGTTTGAATTGATCACAGTCCATGCAGTGTCCATCCAGGAATTCGGTGTAGGAAGAGCATGGGAAGGCACTGATGATACAGGTCTGGGTGATGGAGCCCAGATAGAGGTACACTGATCTCTGGTGGTCACACTTAAAATAGCCGGACCCTGGTAGAGTAGGAAGGGGAGAGGACATCATTAATATGTTTACCATCACAGGAATGAACTATGTGATACACATGTCCTATGTCTCATTTGAAGGACGGCATCTTGTGCAAATGGAATTGTTGAATGATCTCTCTGGCTAACCAGTTTGATTGTTATGTCTGTCTTATCAAGAGACTTACCTGAGAAGATGGTCTTTGGACAGCCAGGCTGGTCGGCTCCACCATTAGGATAGAAATCAATGTGGCCCAAAGGCTTCCTGAACCCCAATGCTGGTAATACAAAATGAACACATTAAGATACACATACACAACAGGAAACACAATAATACATGATTCCCTTGGTATTCAGTGAAAGCCAAACATGCAAGCAGGGACGCATACATACCGTCAATGTCTGTGTGCACAACGTCCACAAACTGTGCATCTGTGGGGTCCAGACGGTCCTCTGGGGGTTTCCCAGTGAACAGAGGCCCCGCTGGATCTAGAGCTGATCAGGTCAACATCAGATCAGTACATTTGTAGGATAAATGTGTTTTGTAGGATAAATGTGTTAGCTTGCAGTATCTAAAATAAAAGCGGGAAGAACAAACAGAAAATCTATTCCATTGATTCTAACCTGTGATCCTCCCAATTTTGCCTTTGAATTTGGCTCCAACAAAGCCTGAGATGTGAGCTCCAAGACTGATTCCAATCATATGGATGGAACTAAGAAAGGCACCATTCTCCTAAAATAGGCAAAAGAGATATTACACTGTTATTACATATTTATACATTTGGCCCTAAATAAGTATGTGAGATACAGTATTCAGACTAAGCACCCACTCTTACCTGCATATTTGTGATGAATGCAGTGAGGTTGTCTGCTGTATCGCGTGTGTAGGCCACAACTTTCAGGTAGTTGACATTGGCAGCTCCACGGTTCCAGTCCACCAACAGGACGTTCATGTCTCCGCGGGCCAGCAGCTTCTGTGTGATGTCATGGAGCCAGTTGGGCGGAGAGCCCGAAGGACGGTAGCCATGAATGACAAAGGTGGTGGGTTTGGTGACGTTGAACAGGGGCTGGGCTGACAGGTTGTGGTGGGACAGCTCCTGACCACAGATCAGATTAGCTCTGGTGTACAGCAACAGCTTCACATACAGGCTGGTACCGATGATAGCGTGATGGAGGTCCAGATCAGTGAACACATCACATTCATGGGCTGGAGACGGAGTAAGTCAAAGGGAAAGAAAGAAAGAAAAATAGTCAAAGGAAAAATCACTGTCATTGTTGAGTGGAAAGTTCCAGAAGCAGTCTTTCCTGTCAGTGACTGCTTATACTATGTGTCTGACCACCACATAAACCACTCTGGCTAAACAACCTATTTTTGTGATGTCTTAAAGTTTCCGAAGGATCTGCCAATAGCTGGGGGAGTATTATTTGATGTCCCCACCCTATGTTTGACGCAGTTAAAGTGTGTGTGTATGTTTGTGTGAGTGCGTGCGTGTGTGCGTGCACGTGTGTAAGGTCACCTTACCCCTGTATATCGCAACAGATCCCAGCAGCAGTGCCAGGAACCACCAAAAGGACATCCTTCAGACCTGCAACGAGCCAGTTATAAGACTATTGTTACAATGGTTAGTGGTTACAAATGTTACATAAACAGGGTAAATCTCTTTCTCCAACTATTTTAAAGCAACACTATTTGATTGTACAGTGACAGTCCCGTGTGGCTCAGTTGGTAGAGCATGGCACTTGCAACGCCAGGGTTGTGGGTTCGATTCCCACGGGGGACCAGTACGAACAAATATGAAAATGTATGCACTCACTACTGTAAGTCGCTCTGGATAAGAGCATCTGCTAAATGACTAAACTGTAAACTGATGAGGGTTATGCTCTGAGACCAGTTGACTGAGCTGAATATCTCTGTCCCTCTCTGTGTCCCCATTGGGTGACTGGTGTGTTTGTGTACTACTGGACACCATATGGTGCATTTCTTTCACTGCATCAATGCAGTACTAGGTGCACAAGGGAAGGTCTGAACTCGTAGAGTACACTCTTAGAAAATAGCTGTCCCCATAGGAGAACCCTTTTTGGTTCCACGTAGAACCCTCTGTGGAAAGGGGCCTACATGGAACCCAAAAGGGTTCTACCTGAACCAAAAAGGGTTATTCAAAGGGTTCTCCTGTGGGGAAAGCTGAATAACCTGTTTAGGTTCTAGATAGCACTTTTTTTTCTAAGAGTGTATGCAAAGGAGGTCAGATTTCGAGATGGGGTAGTTCTCTAAAGCAAGTGAGCTGTTTTTCATTGGAAGTATCCTCTAGTTGTCACTGGAAAGTCACCATGTCATCAGAACAGCTCATGGATATTAGCATGTAAATTGACTACAGATTAGCACTAGGTCATTTACTAGGTAGTCTTCTGTAGTGTGTGATCCTCCATCAGTGTGTGGCTTTCCTCGTTGTTACAATACAATTACTGAAGAGAAGGAAGGCATTCTTTCAGACTCATCCTGCATTTAACCCTTTTTATAAATAGTGATAGGCATTAGCGATGGGCAATGATATGGAAAATCTATATATCAGTTGAATTTCTGAATCATATTGGTTTACATACATACATACATTGGTCATTTAGCAGACGCTCTTATCCAGAGCGACTTACAGGAGCAATTAGGGTTAAGTGCCTTGCTCAAGGGCACATCGACAGATTTTTCACCTAGTCGGCTCGGGGATTAGAACCAGCGACCTTTCGGTTACTGGCACAACGCTCTTAACCACTAAGCTACCTGCCACCCATTGAATGAATAACATTGCAACTGTATGGACTTCCACGGCTTGTGAAATTCAGACAACTGCTTTTCCAATTGCCCATTGGGCCAGATGTCAAATATTCTGGAGGCCTAACCTTCCTAATCAGTTTGAATACAATGGGAAGCTAAGTATACTAAATGAGAGAGCCTATGAGAGGATTTGTGCCTGCAGGAACAGTCATGTATTGTCTTTTACATTAAAGTGTAGGTTAACTGTAATAGAGGACTGAAACATGTACTTACTATGACTGAGATATGTGGTTGTTATGACCTAGCTATCTTAAGATTAATGCACCAACTGTAAGTTGCTCTGGAGAAGAGTTTCTGCTAAATGACTGAAATGTAAATGTAAAATGACTTGGTGGACTGTATATTCATAGGTTTGGTATTGCTTAATGTGTTCGCTCCCAGGTGCTGATCAGGGCACATATGACAGACAGGTGGATTACAGTTGAGTTGGGTTTAATTAAGACGAGGATTCACACAGCATAGCATAGCATAGCACACACACACACACACACACACACACACACACACACACACACACACACACACACACACACACACACACACACACACACACACACACACACACACACACACACACACACACACACACACACACACAACACAGCACAGCATAGCATAGCATAGCATAGCAAAGCATAGCACACACACAGCACAGCACAGCATAGCAGAGCACAGCACAGCACAGCACAGCATAGGGTACAGCATAGCATAGCACAGCATAGCACAGCATAGGGCACAGCACAGCATAGCATAGCATAGCACAGCATATCACAGAATAGCACAGCACAGCATAGCACAGCATATCACAGCATAGGGCACAGCACAGCACAGCATAGTGTAGGATGTAACATGGGGCTAGTAGGCACTTCAGGGTTAATGGCTTGATTGACAACTTTGAGTGTCAACCAACTTCTATGTGGGTGTGGTTTGGGTGTGTTTGCCTCCGGAGTTGGTCAGAACGCAATGATGGCAAGACACGGTGAACGGTTGATTTGTAGTTTACTTGAAGGATAACAGTAGCCTATCATGGGGTGGGAGGCTAAGCTGAAAAATCTGAAACAATTGTGCATGTTGTGATAAAAGCACCACATTTGGCACAGAGGTAGATGTATGCACCCTGAAAAGATTTAGATATGGAGCCACCCCAGATTTGGCCCCTGGGGGCGTGGCAGCCATTTTTCAAAATGGCCGCATGCAATAACATTATTTTACAGTTCAGAAGGACTGTTTTGAGAAGAAGGTACCAAATCAGAGTTAGATCTCTCTTAATTCCCATAGAGCACTTAATTTTGCACAGAGGTAGATGTATGTACCCTGAAAATATTTAGATATGGAGCTACCACAGATATGGCCCCAGGGGGCCCTGGCAGCTATCTATGAAAATGGCTGCCAGCAGTACCATTATTTTATAATTCAGAAGGATTATTTTAAGATAAAGGCTCGGAATTTGGCTCCACTACAGATTTGGCCCCTAGGGGCTGTGGCACCTTACACAATGGCCACTGTTGGTAATACAATGTTACAGTTCTGAAGGCCTTGTTTGAGATAAACACACCTAATGTGGCACAGAGGTAGATTAATGTACCGTGAAAAAATGTAGATATAGACCAACCACAGATTTGGCCCAGGGGGTCGTGGCAGCCATCTTACAAAATGGCCATTGAGGGTATGAACATTTTACAGTTCAGAAGGCTTATTTTCAGATAAACACACCAAATTTTGCACAGAACTATACACTGAGTGTACAAAACACTAAGAACACCTTCCTAATATTGAGTTGCACTCCCCCTTTTGCCCTCAAAACAACCTCAATTCGTCGGGGCATGGACTCCACAAGGTATCGAAAGCATTCCACAGGGATGCTGGCCGATGTTGACTCCAATGCTTCCCACAGTTGTGTCAAGTTGGCTGGATGTCCTTTGGGTGGTGGACCATTCTTGATACACATGGGAAACTGTTGAGAGTGAAAAACCAAGCAATGTTGCAGTTCTTGACACAAACCGGTGTGCCTGGCACCTCCTACCATACCCCAATCAAAGGCAATTAAATATTTTGTCTTACCCATTCACCCTCTGTTATGGCACACATACACAATCTCAGTTGTCTCAAGGCATAAAAATCATTCTTTAACCTGTTTCCTCCCTTTCATCTACACTGATTGAAGTGGATTTAACAAGTGACATCAATAAGGGATCATAGCTTACACCTGGATTCACCTGGTCATTCTATGTCATGGAAAGAGCAGAGCAGGTGTCCTTAATGTTTTTTACACTAAGTATATGCATGTACCCTGACATTTTTTAGAAATGGTGCCACCACAGCTTTGGCCCCTGGGGGCCATGGCAGCCTTCTTACAAAATGCCTTTGACCCCAATTAGGCTAGATGTTATAATGTATATTATAGTTTAGAGACCCTTGTGTACATCTCCTGATGTTTTTATAACATGACTGCCATTGGTTGATGTACAGCATTGGTTGATGTAGAGCATACACTTGAATACAGGATGTCAGATCCGGTCCAAGGCCATGAGTTACCTTTGCTTAGTAGCCACTAATAAATTAGCTGGTTAGTTCCAGGGCTTTTGATGCTGTACTCATCTCTTTAGAATGATGTTTTTCAGAGGTCCCATAGGGTGCAGGATGTACACCTTTACCTGATGCTGCCTCAGATCAACAGTCACCACCAAAAGTCCATGACATACTAAACTGTGCCTTTAATTTGTTCCAATTGCAGAACATTATATTCAGCTGGAAATAGAAAAGCTAGTGTGTCACCCTACTTTTATTTATGAAACGGGTTGAAAGTAAAATATTCCTTGTGCCAGGGACAGTTCTTTTTTTCTTATTTTTTTGTAGTTTACCCCCCTTTTTCAATCTTGTCTCATCGCTGCAACTCCCCAACCGGCTTGGGAGACAGTGCCTTAGACCGCTACACCACTCGGGAGGCCCCCCAGGCACAGCTCTTATCTGACAGAAGCACAGCTTGAGAGTATTGTCCCACAGCAATTGTGAACTATTCAATGGCTATGATATATTCCCAGGCACAGCTGTAGTTAGTCTGAATTTGCTCCTGATATAGGCATTGCAAAGTAGCTTTAGTAGCCATTTGTTAACATGCTCAGGTATCTGGTATGATGTGAATCCCGGTCTCCCGCTCGGGAACCGATCGTCTTAACCATTTGGCCAAAACAATATTCTATCTTGCGCCGAAGATAGTTTTAAGTCTCAGGCAGGGCTACCTCATCACTGGAGTGTTCTAACTCACCTCCGCTACACTCAGTCCCAGAAATGTTCACTTTTTTGGCCTACATGACTGCTGTGTTTCTCTCTGTACCAGTGGCGGCTCCTGAAAAAATTCTCAGGAGGGGCAATTTTTCT